CTGTCTATAGTGACTCTGTGACTAGATAGAGGTAGCAGAGATCTACCAGGTAGGTTGTCTGGACAGTAACATCTGTCTATAGTGACTCTGTGACTAGATAGAGGTAGCAGAGATCTACCAGGTAGGTTGTCTGGGCAATAACACCTGTCTACAGTGACCCTGTGACTAGATGGAGGTAGCAGAGATCTACCAGGTAGGTTGTCTGGGCAATAACACCTGTCTACAGTGACCCTGTGACCAGAGATATACCAGGTAGGTTGTCTGGACAGTGACCCTGTGACTAGATAGAGGTAGCAGAGATTTATTAGGTAGGTTGTGTTGACATTAGTTCTGCTGAGCTATCTTATACATATTTATGAAAAGGTAATTCTAGAAGTGAACTAAAACAACTTCTCTCTATTACAATTTTTATTCAATACGAGAAAAAAAAATCATTGTTAAGCATCTTGAGATCAGAATCTGACATATGATTTATTTGCAGGCCTTTCATGACAAGACTATCAGACAAGGTGCTATACCGGCAGCTCTCAGGAAAGTCATGATCACCAAGTTCCCCAATTTTGACAAGTACCAACTAGGTATGTGACTTAATTACCAAGGATTGTTCTTTAAAACTGTTCATGTTTACCTTGGAACATAGAACTTAAGGAAATCTTTCTTTTAAATATTTTTCACGCATATAATTATGATAGTGAAAATTCTCTAAATAAGTTATATTTTAAAATTAAACATCTTTATTTCAGTTAATGTTGAAATTTGTAGAAACAAATGATATGAATACTTTAAATTGAGGTTTTTGAAGTAAAACCAATTTTCATGATGTAATACTTACCATAACTTTAGTATGCATATACAATACCTACACCCATCTTTGTAGCCCAAAAACAAAAGATTCAAATATCCCTACCTCCCTACCGTGACGTAACCTCTATCTCGATGACAGAGCCACGGAGTGATCTCCCTTCCTCAAACCCCCTTTTATGGAGCCTAAAGGCAGCCAGGATGAGGAGGCAAGGGGAGGAATACAGGGTGGGACTCCATAAAGTTATGGTAAGTATTACATCATGAAAATTGGTTTTACTTCAAAAACCTCAATTTCATTTCAGTAATAATTACCATAACTTTAGTATGCGAATTCGTCTTACCGTAGTGGAGGCTTCGAATCCAGGCAGACCAGGCTGACGGAACAAACTCGAGACATGCTCAAGGTAGGGAAAAGGTTCAAGGAACCCCCCTAATAAAGCCCCGAAAGTAATTAAAAAATGGAAAACCTCCCCGTGAAACGAGCAGGTGTACCACCGTGGTGCCTGATAGCATACTATTTAAAATCACTGAATTACTGTGGAGGAACAGCCACAGACTGTGCAACCACCACCGGTCCAAGGGAATACAATCCATCAGAATGAGAGGCCAAGGACCGGAGATAAAAATCCGTGAAGGTAGTCTGTCCGCGCCAGAAAGCTGCGGACATGACCTCCTGAAAGGGGGACCCATTGAGGAGGGCCCATGACGCAGCAAGGGCCCTGATCTCATGAGCTCTCACCTTATACAACGCCCGAACCTGATCATCCGAGTGGTCGTAACCGTACTTGATGACCTGACAGATCCATCTAGACACTGACTGAGAAGAGATATCCTGTTGACCCTGCTTAATGGGCAAAAACAGACGAGATCGAGGACCTCGCCCCCCCCTGGTTTTATCGAGGTAAAACCTAAGCGCCCGACAGGGACAGAGCAACCTATCCCGTTCCTCAGCTCCAACGAAGGCAGTCAAAGACGGAATCTTAATCGGATCGGGCGAGAAGCCAGGAACCTGATTCTTAGCCATAAAGGCAGGATCAGTGAGAAGGGTAACGGCAGAGTAATTCCTGGACCATCGGAGGCAAGAGGGGTGAGAAGACAAGGCATGAATCTCACTCCTCCTTCGACCTGAGGCCAGGGCAACAAGGAATACCACCTTGTAAGTAACAAACTTCAAGGAGGCAGACGCTAAAGGCTCATAAGGTGCCCGCATCAGCGATTCGAGCACCAGTGGCAAATTCCACTGCGGAGCCAACTGCCGGACCCTAGGCCTGTCCAACCCAAACCCCCTAATCAAGGCAGAAAGAGAGGAGGACGAGCCTACCTCCGACCTACCATGAACAGAGAGAACACTAGCAATGGCCGTGCGATAACCAGCGATAGTGCCAGGGGCAAGATTGCGGTCCCTAAACAGCCAAAGAAGGAAGTCCGCAATCACCTGGACAGTAGCCTTGATCGGATCAACCTTCCTGCCGACACACCAATCACAGTAAATCTTCCATCGTGACTGGTAGACGGCAGATGAGGAAGCCCTAATTGATCGAGCGATGCGATCTGACACGTCCCTAGAAAAGCCCGCCTGAGCGAGGCCTCCTGAGATAGCTTCCACGCGTGAAGGTGGAGGATCTCCGGACGAGAGTGCATCGTCCTGGAACGAGGCTGGCGAAGGAGGTTCGCTCTGAGAGGAAGAGCCAGGGGCTCTTCCACCAGAAGCGACAAAAGCTCCGGAAACCAAGGCTGCCTCGGCCACAGGGGCGCTATCAGGAGGAGGGAACACTGATGCTCCCGAAACTTCTGCAGCACCCTGCCCACCATGTTGAAGGGTGGGAATGCATATGCATGCATTCCCTCCCAATCCAGAGACAGAGCGTCCACGGCCCAAGCCCTTGGATCTGGTACCGGAGAGACAAACGTTGGCAACTGATTGTTCAGTGAAGTGGCGAACAGGTCTATGTGAGGCCTGTCCCACACCTGACAAATTCCCACGAAAATCGAGGGATTCAGTTGCCACTCTGTCAAAACCGGCTGGCGGCGCCTGGAAAGAGTATCCGCCAGAACATTCAACCTGCCTGGCAGATGCTTGACACAAATTGTCAACTGCATTTCCTGACATAGAAGCAGAATGCGGATAGCGAGGGCACACAGGGTGTGAGACCTGGTTCCCCCCTGTCTCTCCAGATACGCGACAACCGTAGTGTTGTCCGTAGCCACACAAACCACCTTGGAATGCAGGATCTCCCGAAAAGACTGCAGAGCCAACAGAACAGCCCTCATCTCGAGCACATTGCTGTGCTCCGAGAGCTGTTCCCCAGACCACTCCCCCGACTGGCAACGCCCGTCGAGATAAGCTCCCCACCCTGTCATGGATGCATCCGTGTACAGGGTCATAGTGGGAACTGGCTTGGACAAAGGAACCCCTCGGAGAACATTGTCCTGATGAGTCCACCAGCGTGCGTACTCCTTGACCGACTGGTTCAGAGGAAGCAAGGCTTCCCAATCCCTTGAAGAAGGGACCCAGTTGGCAAGGAGAAACATCTGGAGAGGCCTGATGTGAAGTCTCCCTAAGGGGACCACATCGGCCAGGGCGTTGAGATATCCCAGAAAACTGAGAAACCAACGTACCTGGACTTGAGACCGGCCGATAAAGGTCAGAGCAAAAGCCCTGGCCTTCTCGAACTTCTCCATCGGTGGAAGGGCGATGCCCTGAACCGTATTGAAACGGTTCCCCAGAAAAACAAAATCCTGAGATGGGGAAACCTCCGACTTTTCTCTGGAAGGAATGAAGCCGACCTTGAGTAAGAGTTTCAGAACCAACCGGGTGACCTGTACCAGAGACTCTCTCACTAGGTGGAGCATGAGGGAGTCGTCGAAATAGATGTGAACATCTATTCCTCGAGAGTGCAGGAATCCCACGACCACCTGCAGCAGCTTGGTGAAAACCAAAGGTGCAGTCGTGAGCCCGAACGGCATGGCCCGGAACTGGAAGACCTTTCCGTTGCAAGTAAAACGGAGGTACTTCCGTGCCGACTTCTTGATGGGGATGTGGAAGTAGGCGTCCTTTAGATCTACTGAAGTCGCCCACATTCCCTCTCTCACGGAGGCGATAATACCCCGAGGAGTCTCCATCTTGAAGTGAGGAGAATCTACGTGCTTGTTGAAGGCACTTAGATCTATGATGGGACGCCACGCCCCGGACTTCTTCCGAACCAGAAACATTCTGGAGTAGAACCCGGGAGTGCATCCCGACATAGGAACCTCCTCGACCGCGCCCTTGGAAAGCATGGTCCTTACTTCCTCCTGGAGCGCCAGAGCCTTTTCCGGATCCCCCGGTGGAGGAAAAAAGATTGGCTCTGACGCTAAGGGCGGATCCCGCACTAGCGGAATGCCTAACCCCTCCTTGATCACAGACAAGGTCCATGCGTCTTCCGTAATTTCCTTCCACTCTGGAAGGAAAGCAGAAAGACGACCCCCCACAGGAAGATCTGGTCGAGGCAGATCGAGACCTTGCCAGGCAAGAGAATCGTCTGCTGACCCGAAGCCTAATCCTGCGGGAGAAGGACCTAAGCTTGAGCCGAGAGGACTGCATTCCTCCCGGCCAAACTCGTCGTCTGACACGACCAAGGAGGGAAGAAAAGAGTCAGGAACCCTTCTTCTTACCCCCAGGAGGGTTCTTACCCTTCTTACCCTTCCATTTGTTGCCCTTGAAGGGAGGCTTATACTTGGGCTGCGCAGAGGACTGCGAAGCCGAAGGTTTAGCCTTCTTCTTAGGAGGCGCTGACCCCTGCGAGGTACTGGCCTTCTCAGCCTGAATCCTCTTCACCAGAAGTGCAGAGGCGACCGAGTCCTCCTTCAAATCCTTCTGAACAGAAGGAAGGGCCCCTCCAAAAAGAGTGGACCCTGAGAAGGGGGCAGTCAACAGTCTGGAACGGTAAGGCTCATCGACCGGGCGATTTTTCAAAACTGAAAACCGCCTAGCCAACAAGACATTGACGAGGGATGACACCTGTAAAGCTGCCAGCGCTCTCAATGCCCCGTTCAGGGCAGAGGTCACTCTGTCCTGGATGTCGGCCTGCTCTGTCTCGGTAATCCGACCCTCAGGCAAGTCGGATACCCTATATAGACAAACCGTCAAGTAGTCTATATACGACAGAATCTGGATGGAGAGACGCAGCAGTCTCTCCATCTTGTGGTGTTCTTTGGGACCGAACACCACCTGGTCCACCGATTTACCGGGCCAAGCTGCAAGTTCCCTCGATTCCAGCTTAGCTGGTTGAGGGGCAAGCAGACCATCATGTGTGGCATAGTCAGTGGCGTGCACCTCTGACAAATCGCCAACACTGAGCTGCAACCCAGCATACCCAGGACTACGGGTTGAAGAAGAATTCTTCCCTAAAACCCGAGACTGGGCGGTGGCCAGAGCTGAAGACACAATGGTGCCTTCTGGCAGAGAGCGGTCCGACCGAGCGGACACCCGAGGAGCCACCAAAGAACCCAAAAGGGTGGTGGACTCGGGGACAGATGATGCCGAAGGTGGTGGGCAAACCTCCTCCCCAAGAATCCGGGAAACGTCAGCCCTAAGGCCCCGCATACCGGATAACACATGCTGGGCCTCAACCTCAGCAGCCTCAGGGTCTCCCTCATCCTGGAAGTCCTCCTCTGAGGGCAAGCCCTCCTGAGGACTGTCGTCAGACGACTCGGAAAGACCAGCGTCTATATCCGAACAACCAGGTGAAAGATGAACAACATCATTGTCCTCTGCCATACCCGCGCCCTCAACGTCCATAGCCTCCACACCATCCAGACCAGAAGCCTGGGGCGGAGGAAATGGGCCAGCCAGAGGGGCCAACCCGAGAGAAGGCTCCCCGTACCGGCGTTTAGGTGCAGTGCGCCTAACGGCCGTGGCTGTAGGTTTAGGCTTAGTAGCCAAAACCCTACCCTTGGACCCAGAGACCAACGAGCCTGCCCGAGAGGCAGAAGTCCTAAAGGTCCGACACACCTTCTTAGGACCGGCCGATAAGGCCCCCGAAGTAGCAGAAAGTTGGGGGGGGTCAACAGAACTGCTAACACGTCTCCGCGAGGGAGAGACCAAACCCCAAGGATTCCATGACGGAAATGCCATGGGGTTAAACCCATATCCCGGAGGATAGGGGAAAGGTCCCGCGGGCTGGGAGTGACCCCAGAACTGGCCAAACTGGCCTGCCTGAGACTGGGGCTGGCCAACTTGCCCAAAGGGCGAAGGTGGACCGCCACTCCCTCCAGGTGGAAACCCGGACATGTACGGGCTAAGCCCGTAACTGCCGGGATGCTGCCGCAACCCAAAACCATCCGCAGGCTGGTAAGGGCGGCCCAAGGATGGTTGCCCGCAGGCACCCGTATACCCTAAGCCAGGGGAAAACGGAGGCCGGAAACCGGCCCCCTGTCCAGCAAACCCAACCCCTGGGGGGAAACCCCCCAGGTTCCCAGAAGAATGAAACTCGGGACCGGACCTAATAGGACCGGGTCCGGGTAACTGACCGGGAGGGTATGCCTGACCAGCATTGATGCCGGGATTAGTGAGCTGCGCGTCACTAATCCCGGTAGACACAGACAATCCCGAAAGAAAGTCTGTTGTCACACCAGGACCTGAACCCGAAAGAACAGGCCCGGCACCAAGACTGTCCCCAACGACAGCACCACCTGGAATGCCGGGATCACTGACAGAGTCAGTGACCGGCGGCCGGTAGTCCCTACCCGAAGGCAAGCGCGAAAGCTTACGGGCGTTCCCGGCCAATTCGACCCTTGGCTGTGCCAAGCCAGGGTCAGGCTGCCCCTCCCCTACTCCAGGGAGTTCCTGGACAGGAAGGGCCACCCCCTGCTCACGAGAGGGACTTGCCGAAGCAAGACCCCCCGAGACAGGAACAGAGACAGTACCACCAGACCCCAGAGAGCTGGTGGCACGACCCCTACCTCTCTGCTTCCCTCGCTTACCGGAAGAAACAGACGAATCTGTCTTACGGTAAGTTGAGGGTAGCTTTGGAACAATGAAGTCCTTGCCCTGAGATTTTGACTGTGAACAAAGTTCACAAGGCGAAACCTCACTGCAAGGACGACACCTGGGACAGGCATCATGAGGGTCCCGTTCCACAAAGAAATGGGAACACCCATGAGCACTACCTCGTCGCTGTCCCGACCGAGACATACCCTCCAAAGCGAACGTAAACAAAAAATTTACAAGCAGATAAAACGGGAAAATAAGGTTAAAATACGATAGTACAAAGTACGCAACGTAGAAAGAATTTCACCCGTAATATAAATCAGAAAACGGTTAAAATAAATAACGTTTGCCGAAACAAACAACCGTCACCGAAATAAACAGAGGTCGGAAATTAACCCACGATAATGGCGGACCGTGGCACACCACCGGCACACGTGGAGTAAAATAACCGGCCGTAAAAGGCACAAAAATAATTTTCAACAACAATTAGTTATATCAATAAAGGCAGATGGGTATAAGGCACACAAACTGCGCAAAAATATGAGTTGACACTCAAACCAAACCGACAAAACAATGTTTTGAATTGGAGCAAGCTCCGTGCGTCAGCATGCAGCAGGCGCCATAAAAGGAAGAGGAAGGGAGATCACTCCGTGGCTCTGTCATCGAGATAGAGGTTACGTCACGGTAGGGAGGTAGGGATATTTGAATCTTTTGTTTTTGGGCTACAAAGATGGGTGTAGGTATTGTATATGCATACTAAAGTTATGGTAATTATTACTGAAATGAAACTGTTATTTTGAATCAATCTGACATTTTGAAAGACTTAATTTTATGAACTGATCTGATATGTTAAAAAGTCCTTATTTTCTGAATGTGTCTGATTTCTTTAAAGTCTTTGCTTTTTTTACAGCAAAATACAACAAAGACAGTTCTAAGAAAAAGAAGAAAAAGAAGACAAAAGAGGGTGATGAAGATACTACCACCTCTGCCACGAGAGGTAGAGGTGGTGGTCGTGGTGTAGGTAGAGGTCGAGGCAGAGGTCGTGGTAGAGGTCGCGGAGGGTTTTCAACACCTGAACCGGTACCAGCGAAACAGAGTAAGAAGAAGAAATCTCTGTTTGATTCCGACTCCTCGGATTCCTCCGACTCTGACTCTGAGGACGAACTGTTAAAAAGACAGGTAGGATATCCATAATATTTCCATTCTAATAATGAACAAGAACTCACTACAACTTCTTTGAGGAAAAGAATGTTTGCTATTGGTAAAAAAAAAACACACAAAAAAACTGATATTCACATGGGATAATACAATTATCACTGTTAGAAATACATTTATATAACTGGTATCAGTGTGTGTTAAATAGATACAGCCAAAAAATGGACATGTCTTAGAGTTCAAAGTAACAAAAGAAAGTAGTATTTCATTATAAATTGTGTCTGAGGTCAAAACCATGAGTCTAGGACTAATATTCTGCTTTTTACAAGTCACTAAGGATATATTTTTATCACATCTACAGATCAGTAACATAGTTTATGATGAGAAGGAAAGTGAAGCAGAACTTTCCCAGGCCAAATTTTCATTGAAGCAACTTATCCGGAAACTTCACATCACCGAACCAGTTGAACATGTTATGTGTCTGATTGGAAAAAGGTAAGGACACTTTATAGAAATAAAGCATGTATATGCTATACATGTTTATGTGTAATACTTTCCTCAGAGTGTAAAATGAGCTGACCACAATGTGTCTCGAGAGAAGAATTCAAATTACTTCCATAAATATATAATTTACAAAGAAAATTTATCCGGAAAGTTTTTCTGCATTACATTAATGTTAAATGTATATAAATAGTTATTTGTAATTTGATAACCATTTCATTGCTGGATTTCCAGGTACCCAGACAATATGGAAACTTTCTATCAGAGTCGTCTGCCCGGAACATTTGAAGAGGAAAGGGCAGGAAAGAGGATGAAGCTTCCGATCCCCGAAACGTGGGAGACTCAGGTGTCACTGAAGGGCAATAAAGCTAAGACATGGGAGGACCTTATAGGTAGGTTTTCTTACATACCAGCTTCTTACTTACAGTCAATATACTGCAGGTGTTTTCTTACATACCAGCTTCTTACTTACAGTCAATATACTGGAGGTGTAATAATATTCTAATCCATTCACACTGGTAAATACTGGGGGTTAAACAATATTTTGACACTTACATCCAAAATGTTATTGTAAGAAAAATATATATGCGATGTACAACTGTGCAAGGTCATAGCCTCATTCTCAATGATAGGTTGAACAATGTTTATGCAAAAATTATCACTGTACTGTATAATGCTTTTACAGTCAAACTTGTCTCAACGACCACCTGTATTCAGTGACTTCCTGTCTTAAACGACCTAAATTATACCCCCAATGATATTTACTATATAACTGACCTATATTCAACACACGTGACTAACGACCATAACATTTCACACCAAAAAAAAACCTGTCACGTGTGACTATTCCGATATTGAAAACAAAACCAGAAATTGTAGAATGGAAAACTTTGCGCGATTTTGCGAGACTTTGTCATGAGTAGTGTTTTCATAGGCAACGAAGCCATACCTCACACAGTTACTGACAATAATGGCTTCGAAATCAAAACGTAAACTGTTGACGCTAAGCGAGAAAGAGGAGGCGATTAGGCAATAAATATTCCTTTCCATAAATCCATGATTAAATGAGAAGAATTCCATGTCAAAGTCATAAATAATTAGTTTTTCCTCGCTCGAAGTGAAGTGTATTTTGCACAAGTTTGTCATGTTCTCTTGACATTAAAATGATATGCAAAATTCGAACCATAGAACTTCGTTGTCATTCTGATTGGAAATTATGTAAAACTGTTTACTGTTAATTATTATAATGATGTTGCATGTGTTAACCAAGATGAATTTGCCGTATGAATTTGTTTCCTGATGAAACTTTGTGAAATTAAAGCACTATAGAGAAATGTGTTTTGCTGAAAAAAGAGAAAAAGTTTGAAGTCATTAGTGGTTTGGGTTTTTTCACCGGAATTCTCATAACCTTGATAGCTTCAAAAACTGTCTTATTTGATTGTATATATATTCTAACTGACGGCCATAGAACTGTGGTGAGTGTGGTCCATTGTATATATATTCTAACTGACGGCCATAGAACTGTAGTGAGTGTGGTCCCTTGTACATATATTCTAACTGACAGCCATAGAACTGTGGTGAGTGTGGTCCCTTGTATATATATTCTAACTGACAGCCATAGAACTGTGGTGAGTGTGGTCCATTGTATATATATTCTAACTGACAGCCATAGAACTGTGGTGAGTGTGGTCCATTGTATATATATTCTAACTGACGGCCATAGAACTGTGGTGAGTGTGGTCCCTTGTATATATATTCTAACTGACAGCCATAGAACTGTGGTGAGTGTGGTCCCTTGTATATATATTCTAACTGACAGCCATAGAACTGTGGTGAGTGTGGTCCCTTGTATATATATTCTAACTGACAGCCATAGAACTGTGGTGAGTGTGGTCCCTTGTATATATATTCTAACTGACAGCCATAGAACTGTGGTGAGTGTGGTCCCTTGTATATATATTCTAACTGACGGCCATAGAACTGTGGTGAGTGTGGTCCCTTGTATATATATTCTAACTGACAGCCATAGAACTGTGGTGAGTGTGGTCCCTTGTATATATATTCTAACTGACGGCCATAGAACTGTGGTGAGTGTGGTCCCTTGTATATATATTCTAACTGACAGCCATAGAACTGTGGTGAGTGTGGTCCCTTGTATATATATTCTAACTGACGGCCATAGAACTGTGGTGAGTGTGGTCCCTTGTATATATATTCTAACTGACAGCCATAGAACTGTGGTGAGTGTGGTCCCTTGTATATATATTCTAACTGACGGCCATAGAACTGTGGTGAGTGTGGTCCCTTGTATATATATTCTAACTGACAGCCATAGAACTGTGGTGAGTGTGGTCCCTTGTATATATATTCTAACTGACGGCCATAGAACTGTGGTGAGTGTGGTCCCTTGTATATATATTCTAACTGACAGCCATAGAACTGTGGTGAGTGTGGTCCCTTGTATATATATTCTAACTGACGGCCATAGAACTGTGGTGAGTGTGGTCCCTTGTATATATATTCTAACTGACAGCCATAGAACTGTGGTGAGTGTGGTCCCTTGTATATATATTCTAACTGACGGCCATAGAACTGTGGTGAGTGTGGTCCCTTGTATATATATTCTAACTGACAGCCATAGAACTGTGGTGAGTGTGGTCCCTTGTATATATATTCTAACTGACGGCCATAGAACTGTGGTGAGTGTGGTCCCTTGTATATATATTCTAACTGACAGCCATAGAACTGTGGTGAGTGTGGTCCCTTGTATATATATTCTAACTGACGGCCATAGAACTGTGGTGAGTGTGGTCCCTTGTATATATATTCTAACTGACAGCCATAGAACTGTGGTGAGTGTGGTCCCTTGTATATATATTCTAACTGACGGCCATAGAACTGTGGTGAGTGTGGTCCCTTGTATATATATTCTAACTGACAGCCATAGAACTGTGGTGAGTGTGGTCCCTTGTATATATATTCTAACTGACGGCCATAGAACTGTGGTGAGTGTGGTCCCTTGTATATATATTCTAACTGACAGCCATAGAACTGTGGTGAGTGTGGTCCCTTGTATATATATTCTAACTGACGGCCATAGAACTGTGGTGAGTGTGGTCCCTTGTATATATATTCTAACTGACAGCCATAGAACTGTGGTGAGTGTGGTCCCTTGTATATATATTCTAACTGACGGCCATAGAACTGTGGTGAGTGTGGTCCCTTGTATATATATTCTAACTGACAGCCATAGAACTGTGGTGAGTGTGGTCCCTTGTATATATATTCTAACTGACGGCCATAGAACTGTGGTGAGTGTGGTCCCTTGTATATATATTCTAACTGACAGCCATAGAACTGTGGTGAGTGTGGTCCCTTGTATATATATTCTAACTGACGGCCATAGAACTGTGGTGAGTGTGGTCCCTTGTATATATATTCTAACTGACAGCCATAGAACTGTGGTGAGTGTGGTCCCTTGTATATATATTCTAACTGACGGCCATAGAACTGTGGTGAGTGTGGTCCCTTGTATATATATTCTAACTGACAGCCATAGAACTGTGGTGAGTGTGGTCCCTTGTATATATATTCTAACTGACGGCCATAGAACTGTGGTGAGTGTGGTCCCTTGTATATATATTCTAACTGACAGCCATAGAACTGTGGTGAGTGTGGTCCCTTGTATATATATTCTAACTGACGGCCATAGAACTGTGGTGAGTGTGGTCCCTTGTATATATATTCTAACTGACAGCCATAGAACTGTGGTGAGTGTGGTCCCTTGTACATATATTCTAACTGACAGCCATAGAGCTGTGGTGAGTGTGGTCCCTTGTACATATATTCTAACTGACAGCCATAGAACTGTGGTGAGTGTGGTCCATTGTACATATATTCTAACTGACGGCCATAGAGCTGTGGTGAGTGTGGTCCATTGTACATATATTCTAACTGACAGCCATAGAGCTGTGGTGATTGTGGTCCCTTGCCTTATTATGAATCTTGACACATTACTGTGGGGTTGTAACCTCAATTTTTTATAATCTCAATCTCAACAGAATTTTTGGATTTGAACACCTACTAATGAGTATCTAAATGGTAAAGTGTTATTATATACTTGTAAATCTTAAACAGTCTGCCAAACTGATGGTGTATACATAATACATTGCAAAATTCAATTAGAGTATTTATGACAGCTTCAAATTGTGATTCCTGCGAGGCTGAAACTATGCAAGTTTCAAAGAGGCAATTGACCATAGCTGTATAGCCAACAGGAAGAATATACAAATTAACTTCTTAACTCACATTTAAAATCTTTAAATTTCTCTATTGTCATCAATCTCACAACTGCAAGTTCACTCAATATCATCACTGTACTCAGATGATCTTCCCTCAAGATGTTGATAAATCTTTTCCGTTCTCCAGACCATAATAAGCTCCCCTTTATGGCCATGCTGAGGAACCTGCGGAACGTGATCAAGGCTGGGATATCTGAAAAACACCACACAAACATCCTTCACAGATTGACTAACGAGGTTTGTATATTTCCTTATTTCTGTTTCATATCAGAAAGCGGACAGATGGTTGAGAATATAACTGTAAATCACTTACTATTAAATAGGAAATATTTGCTTTATGTCACGGTTTTATCACCCTGGTAAAATACTAGCCGCTTCCTACCGACTCGGCTAGGGAGAATTTCTCTTTAGCACATTCTGTAGAGTGTAAGACTAGTAAGCCAGAAGGCCCGGGTTCGACTCCTAGCGAAGGCATTGAATAAATAATTTATTTTTTTATATTTTGCTATAGTTTATATTTATAACATATATACAGCAAGTAGTACTACTAAATATAATAGCAACAACTATAAAAAAGAGTGATAATTGATAATCAATTGTTCTTAAATGTGGTGAATAAATTTAACATATAGATGTTACTTTAATTCACTCTCTGCTCATGTACTTTTAATTAGTCCTTTTGATAAGAAGGGCAAGTTCATTACTGAACATGGACTTATCACTGGAAAAATCTGCTACAAAGGGGTTGGTCTTATTACTGAATATGGGTCATTCACCAGTAAAATCATCTAATATAAGGGCTGGGCTCATTACTGAATATGGGTCAGTCACGGTTTAAATCATCTGATACCAGAATATGGGTCTATTACTGAATAGGGATATATCATTGTAAAATACATTGAGAAGGGAGTGGGCTGTTTTACAGAATATGGAATTATCAATGGTAAGTGTTGTGGTTCGCCACGCATTATTTCAACGTGAAAATAGTAAATTGATTGTTGAATAAACATTAAGTATTTCATAAAATTTCTTATTCTGATTGCAATTTTGTTTGTAGAAACAAGTTGTGAACAGCAAGCAGTTTCCATTCAGGTTCTTTTCTGCCTATGAAGTTCTAGGAAATTTAGAAAAGGACTATGAGAAAAGTCGTAAGTATTGGAACTCAAGATTGTTGAAAGGGCTGAAAGGCAATAATATCAGACACTGTTAGCAACATGGTGTTTTTTTATCTTTTCCAAGATGGTGAAATTTATAAATTAAACATAAAACAAAAAACATTTTTAAATATTAAAAAAATCAATTGCCATGAAAAGAATCATTTGAAGTGTGAACAAAATAACCATTTAATTTTTTGTTTTGTTTGAAGTTTTATTATCTCATTTACCCCTGGAGATACATTTGAACTCTTCCAATTCAAAGCTTGGAATAGTTCATTATGAAATTTCAGGGGTGAATGATTCAAGTCAAACAGTTTGGTAACCTAAATAGACTCTCAGACTCAAAGCCTGTAGCCTTATCCTCATACATTTCTTAATCAGTTGTTTTCAACTTTTTATTATTGTCTGAATGAAAACATAGATATATTTAAAACACTTCTTTATCTTGTTACGAAATTATTTCTTGTTTTGTATCCTGATACAAAACCAATCCTTGTTTTGGTGATTTTTTTTTTATTAAATTTCACATTGATCGATGGTTGTTAAAAAAAAATGGAACCATGATCTTGTATGACCTTGTTTTACCAGAATCTGATATAGTGGAGGCGGCAGAGGCTGCAACCAATCAACTAGACCCTTCTGAAACACAAGGACGTGGAAGGGGTAGCGGTCGTGGGACCAGAGGTAGCAGTCGTGGGGCCAGAGGTAGTGGTCGTGGGGCCAAGAAGACCAACCCTGAAATGTGGTGGCTGGATAAGAAAAAAAATAAAAACAATGCACCACAGTATGTATACTTCAACCAGACTTTATAAGATTCAAGGGAAATATTGATAAGGATTTGCTCACCTGCCTTCATCTGGCATCAAACTGTAATAAATGACTGCTCATGGATAACCAAAAGGCCTAGTCACGATATTCGGCAAGTAGCATGATTTGATGAAGGGATAAGAAGTGTTATAAAGTGGATGACCTTGACCCGCTTTCTAGGTCACAGGAATCTTAATTTGTTAAAGTCTTTAAACCACTTCTTATCAATAACAAAGAGTCTTAGGGTGTTCATTATTATATTGTACCAAGTATTTTTTTTTTGGAGGTACAGTGTACTGAGTACTGTTTTCGAGGTACAGTGTACTGAGTATTGTTTTGGAGGTACAGTGTACTGGGTATTGTTTTGAAGGTACAGTGTACCGAGTATTGTTTTGGAGGTACAGTGTACTGGATATTGTTTTGGAGGTACAGTGTACTGAGTATTGTTTTGGAGGTACAGTGTACTGGGTATTGTTTTGGAGGTACAGTGTACTGAATATTGTTTTGACACCCTGATGTCACGTGTTTCCAGTTATACCAGAAAAAATATTTCATGTTCTCTTAAATTTCTTTTCAGGATGTGAGTAAAAACTGACATGTTTATTTTAGAGTTTATTTCGAAGACAACTCATGAATTTAATCACTCAGAAATGCACAAATTAAGTTAGATGGCTAAAGTGGTAATTTCTAAAGGAAATGTGATGGTGTCTTATTAGTTCCTTACTTTATCTCCACTTTCTACATTACAGGGAAACGCAATTTGACAAGCAACTGATTGCAAGGTACAAGAAAGCCCTTGATAAATCAGTGAAGATCGCCACAACCTACAATGTTCAGCCAATTAGGGGACGAACTATTGTCCTGTGTGACATTGGACCCAGCATGGAGGTCAATTGTACTGCAGCCAGGGGATTGGGCAAACCTAGACAGGTACTATTTTTTAAGTATTTTAATGTATTGATATGTGACATTTTGACTTGTGTATACAGTAGATAATTGCTGTTAGCTAGCCTGCTTTTTGTCTCGCCGCCACGAAGAAGTGGAAGCAAGACTAAGGTTTTCCTTTGGCGGCGGAGGAGGCATCAACATTAAGTTTTTAAGTTAGTTTCACTGAAAGTATAGGTGCTAGACCAACCAAACTTGGGCCATAGATGCATCTTAGGTAGTACATCTCAATCTATGTATCAAATGCTGGATATGGCCTACCTTTCATGGTCCATTGACTATGTCAGCATCTCCATCAACATTAAGTTTTTGCATTTAAGTTAGTTTCATTTCAAATGGTGTCTAAATTGATTTTATTTCACCGATATGTTTATTGATGGTCAAAGCGGTGCACAGGCGAGACATATCAATCCGAATTGCTTGTTTTATAATATTTAACTGTTATTAGACCTTTTTACCTTAAAATTTAAATTGGTTGCAGATGAAGGAGGTTGCAGTCCTGCTCGGCTTGATGTGCAAATATTCGTGTGAGGAGTGTGATCTGGTAGCTTTTACACCCAACACTTATTTCAACGTCCAGCTCAAGTCGGGCACCATTCTGGAGAACATGGATGTAGTCCTCGACCCATCGACTGTAAGGCTCACGTACTGTGTTTCTTTTGCTTGTTATCATTACTAACTTTCCAACACCTTTTCTGTGAGGTTTTATATGACAAAAGAGCAAAAACGAAGATATCATGTATAAATCTGTCTAAATATTATCTTAAGATAGTTAAATCCTTACAACCTATCTTCAATGCCACCAGCAGAAGAGTTTAACTGTTAGTGTTTGTGAGATACTTAAAATCCTAAACAAAAACTTCGAATTTTAATTTTGATTATGTGAGACCTACTAAATTGTAAATATCTTTGAAAGAGAATTTCTGTACATCATTAATATAACTTTTCTCTGTTTTAATTACAGCTGCTAAATGCTGAGGTGAAGAATTCGGAGTCTCTGCCTTTCATGTTGCCACACAAGATATTGTCCGATGCTCTGAGGGACAGAATTCAGGTAGGTAACATAAAATACCCTAAGGGGACACCCACAGGGACAGTTTACACAGAAATAATAATCATGTTCAGTATTTTGTTTAATTGTAATTCCTGATACTTAAAACTTCTTAGTATAGTATTTTGGTGTTTCTGAGTGACAACTTGAAACCTGACCTTTCTTGGTCTAGCTAGGCTGACAACACGACACCATATCTTGACAACATGATATTTTTGTGTTTTTGTCGACAACATGATATTTTTGTGTATCTATGATAAAATGACATTTTTGTGTTTCTGTTGACAATCTGCCGTCTTTGTGTTCACCATACATTGAAAACTTGACATATTTGTGTTCACATTGACAACCTGGCATCTTTCTATTTACACTGGCGACCTAACATCTCGTTTACCTATACTTGTACTATTGACACGCTGACATCTTTGTGTTGTACAGGTTGACAACTTGATCTTCCTGAGCGGTGGGGATAATGTACCTACCCAGCAGCAATATCTCTCAACATTTTTGAAGAAATACAGAGAAATTGTAAACCCCAACCTGCTGTATGTCAACATTTCATTTGCCGGCAGAAATTGTGGGTAAGTTAATCATGAAATGTGGAGTAAATTAATAAGGAATTGTGGGTAAGTTAATCATGAAATGTGGAGTAAAGTAATAAGGAATTGTGGGTAATCAAATAAGGAATTGTTGGTTTTAAATCGTGAATAATGGGTAAGTAAATCAGAAATGGTGGGGAAACTAGTCTGATATCCTAACTTGTGGTTTTTTTATGAAACAATTTTATATTTTAAAAGAGTATAAAGCTTCATTTTAGGTAAATATTTTCATTCGGTCTAAATTAAGTTTTTGTAATAAAACATAATATTGACTGACAGAAACAGCAATTTTGTAAAGTTCCAAAATGTTCAAAAAAGAATTTAATTTTTTTCTTTGTCTGGTTTGTAGGTTCTCAGAAAGTATCACTCCCGAGCACGACAATGACATTTACATATCTGGTTACAGCGACCAGATACTCAGGTAAGGCTACATAACATTACATATCTGGTTACATCAACTAGATACTCAGGTAAGACTACATAACACTACATATCTGGTTACAGCGACCAGATACTTAGGTAAGGCTACATAACACTACATATCTGGTTACAGCGACCAGATGCTCAGGTAAGGCTACATAACACTACATATCTGGTTACAGCAACAGATACTCAGGTAAGGCTACATAACACTACAGATCTGGTTACAGCAACAGATACTCAGGTAAGGCTACATAACACTACATAACTGGTTACAGCAACTAGATACTCGGATAAGGCTGCATAACATTACATTTCTGGTTACAGTGACCAGTGGCCACTTGTATAAAACATCTCAAAGTTGAGGAAAATCTCAAGTAATGCATTGTCTATGTGAAATTTTAGGCTTGAGGAAATCTCAAGAGTTGAGATGTTTTATACAAGTGGGGCCTGATACTCAGGTAAGGCTACATAACACTACATATCTGGTTACATCAACAGATACTCAGGTAAGACTACATAACACTACATATCTGGTTACAGCGAGTAGATACTCGGGTAAGGCTACATAACACTAAATATCTGGTTACAGCGACCAGATACTCAGGTAAGGCTACATAACACTACATATCTGGTTACAGTGACCAGATACTCAGGTAAGGCTACATAACATTACATATCTGGTTACATCAACAGATACTCAGGTAAGGCTGCATAACACTACATATCTGGTTACAGCAACAGATACTCAGGTAAGCCTACATAACACTACATAGCTGGTTACAGCAACTAGATACTCGGGTAAGGCTACATAACACTACATATCTGGTTACAGCAACTAGATACTCAGGTAAGGCTACATAACACTACATAGCTGGTTACAGCAACAGATACTCAGGTAAGACTACATAACACTACATAGCTGGTTACAGTGACCAGATACTCAGGTAAGGCTACATAACATTACATATCTGGTTACAACAACAGATACTCAAGTAAGGCTACATACCACTACATATCTGGTTACAGCGACCAGATACTCGGGTAAGGCTACATAACATTACATATCTGGTTACAACAACAGATACTCAAGTAAGGCTACATACCACTACATATCTGGTTACAGCGACCAGATACTCGGGTAAGGCTACATAACATTACATATCTGGTTACAACAACAGATACTCAAGTAAGGCTACATACCACTACATATCTGGTTACAGCGACCAGATACTCGGGTAAGGCTACATAACATTACATATCTGGTTACAACAACAGATACTCAAGTAAGGCTACATACCACTACATATCTGGTTACAGCGACCAGATACTCGGGTAAGGCTACATAACATTACATATCTGGTTACAACAACAGATACTCAAGTAGGACTACATAACACTACATATCTGGTTACAACAACAGATACTCAGGTAAGGCTACATACCACTACATATCTGGTTACAGCGACCAGATACTCGGGTAAGACATAATATAACAATGTGTTGAAAGTGTTCTTTTCTCACAAAACTGCTGGTTTACTTATCTTCAGTACAATGTGAATTGGAGGAATATTGTCCAGAGTTCCTTCAGTATAATATTTCAGTGCAGTAGCACTCTTAAAGTTGGCATCAGATCGGTGCTAACACAAGGTAGCAAATACACCAACATATACCAGCCAAACATGCTTACACAAATGGAGATGCACCTTAAATGACCTTAGCTGTAAACAGAACATTAAATCAGATAAACTGAACCTAATCAATCTTCAGTATCACCAGGTTCATAGTTATTAAAGAGGGTATTTGAATATTTTCTGATCCACCATTTGATGTGTTGCAGGTTTATAGTAATTAGAGAGGGTAGCGAGTATATTGCTATTTTCTGATCCACCATTTGATGTGTTACAGGTGTATAATAATTAGAGAGGGTACCAGGGTATATTGCTATTTTCTGATCCACCATTTGATGTGTTACAGGTTTATAGCAGAGAGAGGTGAAGGAGGACAGCTGAGACATGTAGAGAAGATAGACGAAGCATTTGACCTTCGACCCATGCCAACCACATCAGCAGACAGGGGAAACAAACCCAAATTGGTCAATCCTGCCAAACCACTGGCCGTGGTCTCTAACTCCCCGAGGTAAAGAAAGACAGAACTCGGGTACAACATCATCAATTAAAATTAAATTCATTTCATTGATCTATGCTCTAAGATATAAGACAAACTTCAACTGTGTTTATCTGAGGCTGTTTGTGGCTCTTAAACAAACATAATATATCTTTACAGCTGGAAAACCATCCGAGTGTTCATCTCCTCAACATTCCGCGACATGCATGGCGAGAGAGACATTCTCACCAGGAACATATTCCCAGAGTTACGTGCCCTTGCCAAGAAACACTTCATTAATGTATATGAAGTGGATCTCCGATGGGGAGTGACGGAGAAAGACACAAAGACAAACAGGTAGATCAGTGTTTTATAAACTTAACATTTGAATCTGGTATATGTTTAATACCAGTGTATATTTGGTACAATTTTTATTGTGAGAACCTCACATTTATGATACAGTAGATCTTGTTTTTTGATACAACTGACAGTATTTCTTAAGTCAATATTGTTTTACACTGTTGTACTGGACACATTTTATATTTCCATCCTATTTTCTCTAACATCATTTATAAACAGAACCTTTTTGTAGATCAAAAAAAATCTCAATTAACATTGAACACCTTTAACTTATTCATCCCTAAAGTCACATTTGAACCTTACCAAATCAAAGACTGAGCAAGTCCATTTTAAAAATGAAGGATTTTAAAAATGTAGGGGTAAATGAGTTAAACCAGTACAGAGTTTTCAATAAACAACAAGAATTTTCAATTAAAGAGTTGGATGGAAAAAAAGGTGGTTATTTTAACAATTTTTGTTTTGATATCTCCAGGACCATGGAGCTGTGTCTCTCCGAGGTAAAACAGTGTAACCTGTTCCTTGGAATCCTGGGAGAGCGTTACGGCTGGATACCGGAGAAGTATGTCGTCCCAGATACAGCCGAGTATGACTGGGTCAGAGACAGCAAACCTGGGCTGTCTGTCACAGAGATGGAAATGTACGCCGGAGCCCTGAGTCAGCCACAGGAGGCTCAACAGTCCGCCTTCTTCTTTCTCAGGGACAGCCAGTTTGAAACGTAAGTGTGTTAATATACCTTCTCTATGGTGTATGTTTGATTACCTCTACACCACTGTTTTTAGTATCTTCTGATTATATTTGAATAATACAACAGAAATAGTAGGAATAGTACCACACTGCCATTTTACTTAAAATAAATACTGTCGATATGTTTTGGTATCTTGTATAAACTGTTTATCAGTTAAGTTAATTGGTAAACATGATCTCATGAATTGAAACATTTTGTAAATATTGATTAAGGTGCACCTAATCATATATTCTATTCTGTTACTGGGCATTCACAGATTAACAGCCTTATAAATAGATGTTTTAAAAAAAGTTCATTTACAATGACATGAATATGGTATCAAGAAAAAGAAAAAAATCTCTTTTCTACATCTTTTGTAGGGACATTCCTGCAGAATTCACATCTGACTTTGTTGCTGAGAACGCTGAGTGTAAAAACAAAATGGCCGACCTGAAAACAAGGATACGAAACAGTGGCTTGGAAGTGTATGAGGGGTATCCATGTCACTGGGGAGGGGTGGCAGAAGACAAGCCCCTTGTATCAGGCCTAGAACTGTTTGGTGCTAGAGTCCTTAACAACCTCTGGAACTCAGTGAACAAACTCTACATCAAGGAGGTAAAGTAACTCATAATGAACATTTAAATCTGGAAAGAAGTCAAGGTTGAAACCTGAATGAAAACAAAAAAAGCTTTTAAACAAATGTCTGTTTTTGACATAAAGACATAAAAAATGGTGAAAACAAATTAAACATCTTCTCAGAGAGCTGATTTTTTTTTTACTTCACCTTAAATTAAATGACAGACTGATTTATCAAACATGCATCTACCATCTAATTTAAAAATATTAATCAAAGTTTGACAATATGTGTGTTTAACAGACTTAGGTCTGAGAATGGTTAAGAAATGAAAAAGGCAAACTGATTTTGTGTGTTACAGGCAGAGGTGTTGGATGAGAATACACATACATCTAAACAGCACCAGGCCATGTTGGAACGGCACCAAGACAACTTTGTGGGGCGTAAAACAATGATCAAAGAAGGCCTCAAACAGTTACAATTTGTGCCCTCTGGAATTATGGGATTGGTTGGCAAACCTGGAAGTGGGAAATCAGCTGTCATGGTAACCATTTATATGATTATTTTTGTAGGGATTCCATTAACTGAGTTGAAAATATCAAAGATAATTTGCAAATATTTCTTAGGCAAATTTAATTTTACAGCCAGGGCTATTCCTCGTAACATGTATTACACAATGTTAGTAGAATACTCCCAGAGGATTCTGAAATGAGGTCATATATACGTTTCATACATATCTGTTGTTAAGGTTTCTTTACCTTGAATATAATATGAAGTTGACATAACAAGCATTTTGTCTGAAGAAAATTTCTGTTTTATTATATACTGGTAAACAAATTGCAAGCAAGATAGTGACTTGTGATGCTACAAACAAAAATCAATAGTTTTCATTAACTATTCTCTTATGAATTATTCTATATTTTAGCTCGAGTCTAGTAATATAAACACACCTGATGTTTTAATTAAGACTTCAGATATCTAACAAACATTTACACAGACAAATAAAAAAACAACTTTATACCAGTTCTTTTTCATTTGCAAATTCAAGTTTTTGCAAATAAATAAATTACTGTAAGAAAAAACATGGTACACTAAATACTAAACTGTAATGATTCACCATAGTTTTTTGTGTTTCAAGCGACATAACAATCCATTTTCTTTGTTGCTAGGCATCCCTAGTGCACGGTTACGTGGAGTCGGACATGTGTGACAGTGCCCTGTCCGTACTGACCCATGTAGTAGGAGCTGCTCCGGGTTCTACCAACATCCTGGCTACCCTCCGCCGTCTCGCTCACGAAGTCAAACGAAGATTTGGACTGGTCAAAGAGGTCCCTGAGGATTTCAAGTAAGCCTACTCTAACAACGGAAATGGTGACTCTAGCTAAAATGTACAGTGGAACCTGACTAATCCCAACGATGCATATAACAGAAGCTCTTCTTAACAGCTTAACTAGAAATAAAACAATCCATGCAGAATTACTGGTCCCTTTGGTGTCATTCCACTGACATATTTTGAAACAACACCAGGTTGATAATGGTCTTGCTAGCTGATGAGGTATCAAAGATCTATGGATACACTGTGGTGGTCAGTTTAGAGAGGTTTCATTGTACATAACCATTCTGTATAGAGTGAACTCTGAATATGCTGAAAACCTGTACCGACCAGACTTTCAGTTCAGTCACACTCTCTATTCTAAGCTTGAAGTTAGATGGAAATTACATTGTTGTTTTGACTTTAAAATAAAATTGTAAATATTTGAATGGAATTTGATATTTTTTTGGACAATGTAAGAAGCACATCCATTAAAATAGTACATGTATGTTCCAGGAACCTGAGTCAGGTGTTTGGTGAAATGTTGGAGGAGGCTGGTACCATGTGTGACTCACCCCTGCTGGTGTTTATCGATGGTATAGACATCATGGAAAGTGCCTACCAACCTGACAACCTGGAGTGGCTGCCATCGCCTGTACCTAAGGTATATAGAGGTTCCAGAGTGAGGGATGGTTATCTAACTTCTTTGGCAATGTTTACAAATAATCAAATTAATTAGAGTAGAGTAAACATGATAGCCATTCAGAGGCGATGAACAGGTCTCAATAATGAGGAATTGGTAACAGTTATGATGGGAAAATTTCAATTAGTATGCAGTACCGCAAAGGATCTTTAGCCCTTTGCCCCATACACTCATGTTTACAAGCTACCTGTTGTCTGTTGAATTAATTCTTTAATTAGTGAAAACCTTGATAAAATGCCACTTGTTTATATACAGTAAAACCTATGTATAATGCCACTTACTTCACTTTCCATCTCACTGCCAAACTATTTCAGGGTCCTCTTTTCCTTCTACATTGTTTTTTAAAGTCACCATTGATATACATGTATTGTCAAACCTCTTTATAATGTCAAAGTTTTGCTGCACAGGATAGGACAAAGTTTTACTGCACATACCAGTATTAACAAGACTTTACAAATGTATTCAACATCGCTGAATGGTGTAACATGGAGCATTTATCGTTACATGTTTACCTAATGGATTCCAGATGTATTACATAATGTGTTATATTTCAGAATGTTACATTCGTGCTGACTGTGCTGGATGCTGGAAAGTGTCACAAGTCTCTACAACGTCACAAAGGTAAAGAGGTCAGCGTCGGTGGTTTGGACATGTGGGACAAAGCTGACGTTGTCAGGACAACACTGGCCACCCACAGGAAGGCTCTTGATGAGGCACCCTTTAACAACCAGGTATGTCTATGTTGACATACTTATAAATGGACAAACTAGATTACTATCAAACCAATAGACAAAATTATCACTGTATGATGACAAAATTCTCACACTCAAAAAAAATAATCAACAGAAAGAATTATTGCACCAGAGGTTTGCGACCTTTCTGGTTACAGTTATATTTCATTGCTGTTACTCTCTGTTTTTAGCTGAAGCTGTTGCTGTCCAAGAAAGAAGCTTCTATGCCTTTGTTCCTGAAACTAGCTTGTGAGGAACTCCGGGTGTTTGGGGTGTTTGAACAGGTGAGCTGATACTACAGCACCTACTAGCATATTCATATCATAATTGTACAAATTTCCGTGTCTCTTAGTAAATGTGAAAAGTTTTAATTCTATATAGGTTCTTTAATGAGTTTCCATTAGAAAAGATCATTTTTATAGAAGTCTAGAAATTTCAATCTTCACAAGGCTCTGTAGAGTAAAAAGACAACTGTGGTAATTGAATGAAGAGAATGTTAACACTGTCTACAATACATTGTGTCTCTGTTGTAGGTGAGCAGCAAGCTGAAGTCCCTCCCACACACTGTACAACAGTTACTACAGGAAGTGCTCGCCCGCCTTGAGAACGACCTTGGCAAGGAAACTGTTGTCATGGCAATGTCTCTCCTCATCTGTGCAAGGGAAGGTGAGACATAAAGAAGCTGTATAATATTATTTGAGAGGATGAGAGCCTTGCATTTTGGAGTGAGGTTATAAAATCAACCTATATCTGCCTACTGGCCTACAAAGCTACACTAGCTATGAGGCAGGAAGGCTCAGAGAGTCCACCACTTCCTTCTGTCTAGATTCTATGATATTTTGCACAGTGTGTTATCAACCCTTACAGAAGCAGCAGCTATTTTTTTGAATTTATAATGATCATTATCTGAAATTTCACTTGAGACATATCAAAGTACTAAGTATTTTTGTTTTTTTTGCATAAATACTAACGATGACTTAGAAATAATTTTGTTAGAAAACAAGCTGGAAAGATGTATACTGTGTTGGGTTTTATGACAATATATTACTTAATAGGTGATTACATTATCAGGTTTGGATGCTGAGGAGCTACATGAGTTACTGAGCCTAAAGTCACTGCTGGGGAGCACAAAGATCAGTGTCCAGGGAGTGATCAATATCCATCTATCTCAGGAGGACCTGATACCTCCCCTCATCTTCTCCCAGGTTAAACGGTCACTGCAGACTTTCCTGAACCCACAGGACCGCTGGTATGTATCACAAATATGTTTGTTTCCTATAGGGTATCATATGGAATATATATATATATATATATATAGTTACAACCACTATATATACATATATATATGGAATTCATATATATATGGAATTCATATATATATATGGCAATTGGAATAAAGAATTTTTAATTGTAATTGTATCAAACAATTAATACCGTTTAGGGGTACTTGATTTTGGCATTCTTTATCATTATCTTTGAACATACATTCATTCATGTGTGCAGTTTGAAAATACTTTTTTTTTGTGTAAAATATACCATATACAAACAATTGATTTCTTCTATCATAAGTCTATCATTTGTGCAATATCTTGCTTTATAAAACTTGTATATATGGACCTGGGATCTACTTTCATATTACCTATATTTTACAGGAGCACCCGACTGAGTCTGGCCCATGCTGACATAGAGGTTGCAGTGAGACAGCGTTACCTCAGAGGGTCAGCAGCAGAACAAGAGTTTTCTCTACACAAACTTCTGGCTGGTAAGTAAACTTCAGACAAAAAATATTTGCCATTATTTTGCACTAAAACGTAATTTACAATCATTTATCATGCCCCCGCCATAAAATGGGGGGCCTATATAGTGTTGCCCATGTCCATCGCATATATCCCGTCCCATGATCAAAGTGGTTGTAACTATTTATAGAACATCAAACACTGAAACGAATTCCACATGGAGACCGGAGTATTCATGTCTTACAGACATTTTCTAGTTTTCCTTTAAACATCATGACCCATGCCAATTTGTCACAAAACAACAAATATTTCCCATTATATTCCAAAAAAATGTAATTTAGAAAAAAATATTTTCCTAAAAACATCAGGGCCTATGCAAATTTGTCACTGTACTGATAGAATGGTGGATAGAACTATTAACAATTTACAATGCTTTTGTATGCAATGTTTGCGAAAATTAATTATCAATGATAAATATTAAACTACAGCAGCTGGACTTATTTGTTGATATTGTTAATTATTTTCAGGTTATTTTTACCGGCATATTTGTTGAGATTGTTAATTATTTCAGGTTATTTTTACCAGCATATTTGTTGATATTGTTAATTATTTTCAGGTTATTTTTACCGGCAAGCTGACCCTGACAAAAGCCACAGTTTCCATGGTAAAAGTACCCGAGCCTACTGTGAACTACCCTATCACCTGGTAGGTCATACATGATGTGTCATTAAGAAAAACACAATTCTGGATCGATTTGTTAATCACACTCAATATGTATTAAACAACACAACTTGAAGGCAAACTCATTTATGAAAAAGAGATCCAGTTCGATTATAGAAGTCTTTTTGTATAAGAAACATTTTTTGTCACAAAATCCTTGCCCTCTGTTCCCTGTATAATTTCTGTAACGAGATACATATGATTCTTTCAGTCGTGTGCCGGAGAGTTTACTGAGTTGCAGGCTGTGCTGTGTGACATCAAATTCATCGACAGGAAAATCCAGCTTGGCCTTGGACCCAGACTGATGGATGACTTCCAGGTCAAAGGTAACATGAAAACACTTAGTCATGTGACCAAAAATTTACAAATCTAAATCTTTGATTACAACCATGAAATGAAATTTTAGATTTAGCATACAAAGCTAAGATGCATTAAAGATAACAACTTTTGTTCTAACACATTTGTTTCAGAAAAATATGTCAGATTTAGAAATTGTCTTTTATAAAGTATGATAAGTTACATGGTGAATTTTCCTGGATAATGGTGAGACCAGCCTCAGAGACCATCACCTGCTTATAAATCCCAGTTTAAGATTTCTCAAAGTGATATTTCAAATAGTGATATGTCTTTTCATTTTTTTCTGTCTATAAAGATTGTTGTTGCTTTCTAACTTAGGTCCTTGTATTGTAAACAGGTTTTACTGTGATAAGAATTTCTTACTTTTCCGTACATAAGGAAATAACTTTATATTTCAATCCACATATATGAATGATTGTTTGTGTGATAATGGATTTACAGTTTACTAAACAAGATCTGTAAATTCTGATTCGGTCGTGTTATGAGTTGAAATGTTGTAGCTTTACCCTGTTATTAATGTTTTGTTCAGCATTTGGAAACAAAGCCATGGACAGAGACCAGAACAAGATGGTGGTGTCGGATAATTTCCAGCAGTACAAGATGTTTGTATCTAGGAACATGCACATCCTGACCAGGTAAGTGGCCACTTAGTGCTTCATCACAATAATTTGTCTCATATACCATATACCGGGAAATATTCCCTGCAGTTGAATTTTTGCCTTTTTCACCCTCCGTAATGAGAGCAAATTTATTATGAGAGTGAACAGAAGTAAACAGCTTAATTAACATAGTAATTAAATGTAAAGGGTGAAATTAAGACTGGGCGAAAATTGATTTCATGGGCAAAGGGCGAAAGCAGTATGTCTGTCCGTCACATGTTCAAAGTTTCGTTACCAATAACGTGCAAATATTATTTCAGTAGTATTGTGATTACTTTATATGTACCTGTGTTTCATTATAAAACTACCTTGTTCGTAAAACACAGATGTCCTTTTTCTTTACACAGCTACCCCGGGTTGACATGGCAACAGGCTATCAACGAACCGTCCGACTCACTACCAGCCCAGCAGGCGGTTGATTTGTCCAGAGATGTTAAAGACAAACAGTACATTGAGTGGAACAACAAGCCTGCGACCAAGGATCCATGTTACCTCACCATGGACAATCTCCCACACGTAAGGTTCTAGATAATCTCCCAGTGGTGGTGCTGTGTGTATCATAAATGGGCTCCTTTTCAAATTAAACAGGGTCTTTCTGTTCAGTTATAATTATTGGGGGGAAAAGAGTCCACGGTAATTGTTAAAATGTTCCCATAGGTTATGTCCCAAAGTGTAACTTCTGTAAAACTATACCAACTCCAAAGGGTAGGTTTTATAAAGCTATACAATGTATTCGTTAGATGGTAAAATAGTTATTTCTGGGATGAAACATTTATTCAGGAAAATTTAAACTGCATGTGTCCCTAAAAAAAAAACTCTTCTAAAATATTTGTATGACAGTGAACCATGAACTGAATCTTGTGTAATGTGTTACAGCCGGTGATGTGTGTTGCCATCAGCCAGGACTGCCAGGACTTCGTGTGTGGAGGCCTTGACGGCATTGTACGACTGTATAACATGGGCACTGGCAAGGTAAGAAGATTATTTTAACTAATCCTTGTCATCTGTAAGGTCTAGAGTATTTACCAATTTTTGACTGTACCATTGTATTGGTAGGTGCAGATTTCACTTTTTGTGTCAAAGGCTACTTGTGTGCAACCTTTAAAAAAGCTCATAAATTAATTATAAAGATATTTGTTTGTTATGAGGTAGATATTGCTAAGATGAAGGTTTCCATTTTTGTTAAATGTATGAGATTTAAAAATAAAGAGCAGATACTGTATATAAGGGTTAGTGAGCATTGATTGTTGGAAAATATTAGAATACATGTATATACATCATATTTTACCGTCACGTGTCATATTTCCCTGTTACAAGTGATATAAAATCTGTATTGAACCATTGTTGTTGGTTATGGTGTTCCAGGAGGTACGTACTTACCGTGGCCACTCTGACGCTGTCTCTGGTGTGTGCTTCATCAGTAAGATGCTGCTCTGTAGCGCATCGTATGATACCACCCTCAGCATCTGGCATGTTGAGGATGGACACAGGTAAGTGACTACTGACTGCAGGGTTTAGTTTAATTTATGTTGTTTTACCATACATATGAATTGACCATGTTATTTCTTGTAACTTATAATTTTGATGTATATGAAATTGCATGTTGTGTTTACTTTGATTCATATGTAGAAGGAAACTAGACTAGATCCACCACTAGACATATGTACTAGGTAGCTAAGTAAGCAGGGTGTTCTTCTAGAGTCCAGAGATTTCAGGTTAATTTTTCCACTCCTATCACAATACACATGCTAAAGGTGCCACTGTGTATTTATTTGAGCTTGTCCTTTCCAGAGTTCACCTGCTGAAGGGTCACACTCGGCGCGTGAAAGCGTGTGCGGCAGACCCTGCCGGGAAACTGGTGGCCTCTGCCTCCTGGGACTGTACAGTGAAAGTGTGGGATACTTCCAAGGGATCTATATCCTGCTATCTCAATGTGGGCAGGTGAGAATCTCACAGGTGTAACGTTAATGTGGACTGATAAATTACAGGTTTCTTTGTCATCGTCAGAGACAAAATTGTTGTGTTGCCTTATATGGAACTGTATATATTTACTCTGATTGAAATATATATAAAATAATGGTTTAAAACACTGAAAAAGACCATGCCACTTGACTTTCTTTGCACGGATTATGTTCATGTATATTTTCTGTAGTAAATCAACAGTCACTGTTAGATATTGATTGGTTAACTTAAATGAATTAATTATTTGTATCCACAGCCCAGTGAACAGTGTATCCTTCCACCCTGAAGGTCAGCTCCTTGCGACAGGAAGTTGGGATGCCACCATCAAGGTCTGGGATGTGTTCCATAAAAAGCGGAAGGCAGTAAGTATTGGGCCCAAACTTTAGGAAAACTACATCAATAGCCACGTCCAATAGCTAAAGTTATATGAAAAACATTTTCATCGTGCTAGTAGATGTACAGCAGGGACAGTGAGAGGATGAAGTTTCCTAGTGTACTGTAAAACCCATTTAACTCAAACTTGTTGGAACCGCGAAAATAGTTACTATTTAATGTTTTAATTAGCTATTAAACATGATTTTGAGATCCTAAAGCATTTTATAGTTTTTTCACACATTACAGTAAAACTGTACAAAACCATATTTATATTCCAGATCTGATAACTTGTTTCAGTCATGATTCGATTGTTTATTTTTCTATGGGCACATAAGACATTTCGCAGGTTTTGGTTAAACGATATTTTAACCAGGTAATGTGTTAAAATTTGCCCGGTATATAGGGAAACAATTGGTTTGAAATAGGAGCTACATTTCATGTTATTTGGGTTTGATTCAGTGGAGTTGTATTGATTTTGTGTATCCACAGATACTGCGAGGCCACAGTACGTCAGTGAGAGACGTAGCGTACTCGCCTTCAGGACGCCACATTGCCTCAGCTTCTCTCGACGGTGACGTGAAGATCTGGGCAGCACAGAGTGGCAATCAGGTATGTCAATAATCCTAATACATGTAAGGCAAATAACATAAGATTTCAGCAAGTGTTAGAGTTACCTGTTGGAAAGTTGGTCCAATATTGTCATAAAGTCTCATAATTATGAACTTATTCTTTGTAACAAATTCAGAAGGTCAAACAATCTTTAATTCACAGGTCTTTACAATAAATAAAACCACAGTTGGGAGGAAAAATATACTTTTGAAGATTTAAGGGTGAAAATTTAATGTTTGATAATATTACTGTGTACAGTTACATTAAAGTAACTGCAACAATTAAGCTTGTTCCATGTTCAAAATTACCACCTACCATATTATATATTAACAAATATGTACTTGTTGTGTTTGATAGGTTGGTAGTATCCAGGGACACTCAGCCCCAATCAACAAGCTCATATACTCGCCCACTGGGAAGGAACTCATCACCGTTAGTGATGACCACAAGGTCAAGGTAGGTCATAGGTGAAGGTGGGGCATACAAAGCATACAAAGCTAAGATGCATTAAAGGTAACAACTTTTGTTCTAACACATTTGTTTCAGAAAAATATTTTATACTGGTCAGAGGTCAAACAGATAATACATTGTACAAGACAAATATGTTTTCACAATAACTTAACTGAACTGTGGAAATAAAACGTCAATCTAGTATTTAAAATAACATAGTGCTATTATTTTTATTTACACTACACATGCTAGGTATATAAGGAAACTTCTCAGTTTATACACAGTAAGAAGCAATGATATTTTTGATCGTATCACAGTGTGACATAACATCACACCTTTATTTGTATTTCCTAATGTGGGAGAGATCCAACTCAATGAAGCTTGTAGATTATACTTGCTAACTCATTCTAATAAATAGAATTGTAATCGTTGATAGGTGTGGTCAGGACACTTGGGTCTACCCACACTCAAGATTGGTGAGGAGGGAGGAGAACCCATTGTGGCCGTGAGATTTGACCCTGATTGTACTGTTGTTGCCCTTGGTTACCACTCGGGAACAGTAAAGGTGTTTGATGTGCTCTCAGGTAAGATAACATGATAATGTGAAACATTCTCCCAGTTTGATTTTGATTTGGCATGTTTTGTGAGAAAGTTGATTCTTCGTGTGCAAAACTGCTGTGATTTCAACTTTGATTTACAAGAATTTTGAGAAAAAATACAGAGAAATGCATAACTTTAATTTATTATAATAAATGGTAACTGTAGGTTTTTTTTATGTATTTCAAAAAACTGATTTAGCTTTGCATGCAACAAGGTAGTAGAGCTTGAGAGCACACAATGATGGAGACTATAATTATACATTACAGGATTTGAGCTGTGGGGCAGTCGTCTTCACAAGTCCAGAGTAAGGGGATTGTGTTATAGCCCTGATGGTGCCTACCTCCTCACTGGAGCAGACGACAATACAAGCAAGGTAAGTCTCGATATAACAAGGTATTATCTGTGATAAGTATAGATGTCCTAGGCTGTAGAAAGGAGGGGAAATTGATACAGGATTTGTCCAAGTTGTCATATCCATTTAACTTAGCACAGGCTTTTCATGCGTATACTCAACCCGCAGTCATGTTCAACCAGAGAAAGGAAGACCGTTTTATATATATCTCCATCATTAATATGACAGAACACATCTATTGGACGAGCATATTGATCCAAAATAATGCTCAGCACAAAATGTCTTTCATAGATATTACTGCCAGTGGGAAGTTTTTCCGGTTTGATTTGATAATTGACAAGGACACAGTGTTATAAACAGTTTTATGATGAGCATGTGGATGCACTCTCTAGCATAAAACTTCACTTCAAGTTCAGCAATAGCAATGTCTTTACATTCCTGATTTTTGTGACTGCAGTTAAACCATTTGTACAATGAATAACTCATCCACAATACCCCACAAACCATGAAAGTTTGTATTGAAAACAATGGTTTAACAACACAAAAGGAAGTACTCGTGTTTAATGTTTTACCATAGACTTCAACATTTTAAAGTAACAGCTGTTTTGAGAGCAGAAAATGTATAATATTGCTGATTGTTTTGCAGGTGGTAAATGCACATGATGGTAAACTGGTGAGCTCCATGGCGACTCACACACAACCAGTGCTGTGTGTGTCAGCAGCTAAAAACTACATCGCTACCGGCAGTGAGGACTGTCAATGTTGTGTGTTTCCTGCTGTCTGGGGTAGATCTGGCAAGAGGTACGGTATAGATCAGTGTAAAACATTAGTACCTGGTATGGTAATATAGGACATATGTGTCAAATGTTAAGGGTCGTGGGTAATTGATTTTAATTTCTTTTTCTTTTTTCTATTTGAAACGGAGATTGTTTCAACACAAACAACGGTCACCTATGTTGTGAAGAGATTTTAGGCTATAGAGACTTTCAAATAATAAACTTACAAACTTAAAATTATATGATGCAAAACTTTGAAGCAATAAAATCCATGTTGATATGAAATATTTGTAAATGAACAGCTCTAAGGAGTTGAAGTCGGTAGCTGGTCTGCTTGGACACACCGGAGCAGTGACTGCCTGTGTGTTCAGCCCCAATGAGAAAAGACTGGCAACAGCAAGTCGAGACATGGTGAGTTAACAAATATATTACTTCTAATTGATCAGTCATTTAATATGTATGTTTAAGTGAATATTGTAAAATCATTGTAGAGTTACCTCAGTAAGAGTGCAAAAACATAAAGTATAGTTTGAATACTTTAAATTGCCTTACTGAGACTGAGAGCTACTATTTGGTTTCAGTATCATTTCATTTTATTTTATACTGTGAATTGTGATATTTTGGATGTGGTAATTACTAGGTATCTACCTAAGGAACTGCCTCTATTTAGAAATCACGTTAAAGACAACTCTATTAAGAGAACTTCCAAATGAACCTCAAAGCCCAGTCTCAATCTGTGCAAACTGAAGTGTCATCAATGGGTTATAAATCCCTACACCTGTTTTATCCTCAGTCGGTGAAGATTTGGGAGCTGAGGATGAGTATCTTGGACTCCAGCTCTACCCCAATACAAGTTTTACATGACTGCCACAAAGACTGGGTGACCGGCTGTAGCTGGTTTGGAGATTTTCTGGTATGTACAGTAAACTATGAATTAGCAATATCACCAAAGTATTTATTTCCTTATACGTTATATATGTGGTTTACGTTAAAGAATAAATACTACACAGTAATTCTGTGATTGGTGTTAAAGTTATAAAGGATATATGCTTAATTTTGGGCTACCTGTGACATGTTACCTTAATAATCAATGAGTTAATGTATATTTGTGTAAATGGACACTGCACACAGTTAGTCAGGATTTACAGTATTGTTTTATACATGGCAAATGAAAATAGAAACGATGAGCAACAACACCACTGAATCCGGTACAAAATGTAATGTTTGATTTACATCCTACGTGCTGACATGTTTCATTGAAAAGGAGGCCGTCTTCAGAGCACAGTTACATGATGTTTTATACATGGTTTAAGTTTTTAAAAAAACGAAACAACAACAAAACAAAACCATGTTCACTATTGTAAAATCTACTAACTTATGTACACATTCCATATTTATGTTACCTGTTAATTCTTTCAGCCCTATACAACTTAGTAAACTCTACCATACATTGATCTGGATGAGTCCATTATGGTTTTCAGTGCGTGAAATGGTTAATAGAGCCCACAGGTGTTATTTATGCTACCTGTTAATGGAGCCCACAGGTGTTATTTATGCTACCTGTTTATAGAGCCCACAGCTGTTATTTATGCTACCTGGTGTTAATTATTCTGTATGTTTGTAGGTGACAGCCTCCAATGACTTCACTCTTAAAGTCTGGGATGTTAAGACCGGGGAGGAGAAACAGAAGATTACTGGTCACATGTCCTCAATATCATCGGTAGCCTACAAGGTGAGAGACAGATATGTTACTAAGTACAAAATAAGGGTCCTCTTCCAGCTATACTTAACTTGTATCTTTCCTAAACTTATAGCTATTCTTCCTTTTACCTATTCTTAACTCATTCAACCTTGAAATTTCATAAATAACTATTTCAACCTATGAATTGAAATCAATTGAATCAAATATGTCCTCAGGGTTGAATGAGTTAACTTATGAATATCCTTAACTTGTAGCAAACCTTGACTTATAACTATCCTTAACTTATAACCAACCTTAACTTATAACTATCCTTAACTTATAACTATCCTTAACTTATAACTTACCTTAACTTATAACTATCCTTAACTTTTAATCAGCTTAACTTGTAAATATATTTAGCTTTTACTATCCATAATTTCAAACAAAGAAATCAAAGTAACTTTCAGCAATCAATCTTAAAATTAAGGCATCTTTTTTGTTTACCCCAGCCTAAAAGGTCGTTGCCATTTCCTGATTGTACTGTGCTCCTTATCCAGTACTATTTTTGTTTACCCCAGCCTAAAAGATCGTTGCCATTTCCTGATTGTAATGTGCTCCTTATCCAGTACTATTTTTGTTTACCCCAGCCTAAAAGGTCGTTGCCATTTCCTGATTGTACTGTGCTCCTTATCCAGTACTATTTCTGTTTTCTTTGTTTCAGTACGGCTGTATTGTGTCCAGCTGTAATGACGGATCAGTCAAAGTGTGGTCACACAAGGGCGTCGAGATCACCACTCTACACTCCCACCAGAGGGCAGCACACGCCTGTGACCTCTACGTCAGAGTGTCTGAAGTCGACAGAGTCAATGTTCAAGGTCTGTTGTTTCTTTATTGTCTTGAATAATTCTTTAATACTGACACGTAATCAGATTCTCTCCGACACGTAATCAGATTCTCTCCGACACGTAATCAGATTCTCTGCAACTCCTTCATCACTGTATGTGAATGGAATGTCAGTTAATGATTGGCGATCAAATTGATGGATTTTTAAGTATCTGAAATATAATGTTTGTTATTATTGCATCATTTCATAAATGTTCAAAACAGATTAGAATTAACCAGGGCTGCATTCGTTTATCGTGATCTAAACGGTTGAACTGGTTAGACCAGAGTTGTTCGTTTATGAAATAAGGTCGGACCTAGTAATCTGATGCTGCTTTCAGGCGAGCCTTGACAAAGCCTTACAAGGCCTACATTAACATTAACACTCGCAGGTCCGCCAGGATTTATACCCGAAAATGTTACATTTAAAAACAAACAAACCGGTTGTTCCGCATAAACAAAGAGGCCCCTGTTTTTAATATGAAGACTTATTCCCCTGTCTTGTATTATTCAGATGAAATGAGTTGGAGTGCTGTAGTAGAGGCTGACGAATTGGAAGCAAAGACCCAAAAAACTCACAAACCTGCAGTGAATCTGGAGGAGGTTATTGTAGCCACATGTGGTGATGACGGCACCGCTGTACTGTGGAAACCTCTACAGGTATGCCTGATCAAAGCCTCTTCATATTACCATAAACATGTTCTGTCCAAAACGAGTCGCTCTCACAGGCCTCTTGGGGCATAAGACCTGACTTTTGTCAGTTCCCCTGTTTTGTGGCTCAAAATTAACATAGTTTCATGATTTTAAAAGAATAATCATACCAAAATGACTTGATTAGAATAAAAAATAAATATGTATAAGTATTTGTCTATATGATGGCATTGACAAACAGCCATTAAATATCTATAATTCTCCATTTTGTTTAACATTTATAAATCAAACAGTTTCATTATGTGTGTCATGCAACTGTTTATGTGAAATAATCCTGTGTATCTTTTCCTATTTAGACAGACTTCATTCTTACCATAATATATTTTGGATTTTTATTGGTTGGCTTTATATTTTCCAGGCCAATGAGATGGCCAATCTAACCGGTCACTCTGACCGAGTGGTCAGTGTAGCTGCCAACAAAGATGGCCACCTGTGTACAACATCCCTGGACAAAGCCATCCGACTCTGGGAACCACAATTGTCAACAGAGACAGCCACCGATGTTCATAATGCACCTGTCACGTTTGTGGAGACATCGCCAGACAAATCACTCCTGCTGACTGGTAGTAGGTCGGTATAAGTGACACTGTAGAACCTTTATCATTTAATGTATGTTACTGAAAATATTTATGTAATCAATAATTGTGATACACATTGTTTGAAGAGATTTTTTGGTGAAGATGTTCCTTTTTCCAAATGTAAACAAATTAGCTAACAAAGCATTTGTAATTTATAAAGTGAAATTATTGTTTTTCAGGGACGGAACGTTGAAGATTTGGTATAAACCTACTGAAGTCGGGCGACCAATATGTGCCATGTCATTACAGGTAAGATCTGTGACCTGGGTTTAATTTTAACAGTTACATCTTACAAAATACATGCCTACCATGTTGTCATACATAACGTTCTCTGTGTGTTATACAACAGAGTCCTGGATCGTGCTGTAGCGTTTTGTGTATGTCGTGTATAATATAAGATAATGCCAGGTTGTATTTTAACAACTTATTAGAATGGAGGCAGTGTACTTTAGTTTAAAATCTTTTTTTGTTTAGGCTCACAAGAAATCTGTAAATGCAGCCTGCTTCCTGGCACCCAATGCTTTTGTGACTGGAGGAGACGATGGCCAGATCATCATTTGGAACATCTACAAAAAGTCCCAATCTGGTCACAGGTAAGTGTGCTTATATAATCATGGACATTTATAATGAGTCAAGTAGACCCTGCAGTCTCCTTCCTCATACCTGTTTATCCATCTTTGGCCCTAAATTAATTAACATTATACATATTCTCTCAACAGTGTGCCTGTGTGTTACGGTTAAATGTATATATATATTTTCTCTCAACAGTGTGCCTGTGTTTCACGGTTAAATGTATTATATATATTTTCTCTCAACAGTGTGCCTGTGTTTCACGGTTAAATGTATTATATATATTTTCTCTCAACAGTGTGCCTGTGTGTCATGGTTAAATGTATATATATATTTTCTCTCAACAGTGTGCCTGTGTGTCACAGTTAAATGTATATATATTTTCTCTCAACAGTGTGCCTGTGTGTCATAAGAAGAAGGTGTTCAGTACCATGTCCCCGGTCACTGCCTTAGCCACCTCCTCCGAGATGACCTCCAAATCTGGCCATATTTTCCTGTCTGGAGAATGGTGTGGCAAGCTAACTGTCTGGAACACTGAGCAGCAGACTCCACTTTCCAATAGGTAATTGGAAACTATTGGCTTTATCTGGTTTAAAATTTATACTTTCGGAAAATTTTCAAAACTTCATGATCTATATATGAAAACCAAGATAAAAGTGGTCTTAATCTTTACCCGGATAAGAAAAAAATATATGAGAGAACTTTTAAGATGAAAGGTGAAAATGTCTGATGTCCAATATATATGTTATCGTAAGTGAAAATGTCTGATGTCCAATATATATGTTATCGTATTGATCTCACGTGGAATTAGTTGTACTTAATATGAATCCAACCCTGAGTAATAGTATTTATACAGGAACACTTGTAAATCAGACCTTCAACTCTTTTAACTCATTCACCCTGAAGACACATTTGAACTCCTTCAAACCAAAGGTTGGAATAGTGTGTTAGGAAATTTCAGGGGTGAATGAGTTAAGGTCCAATTGTATACATTTCTATGTGAATTTAACATGTGCATTTGAAAACCTGTCTATTCCAAGCAAAATTGTTGGCTGTGATGGTGTCTGGATTAGACAGGTTCTACCGTCTCTCGGTAGAGTTAATCAGAGGCTAATTAATAACCCCTGCATTAAATAAATCAACAGCCATCATAAAATATCAATGGGAACAATATGGCAGTCACTCCGGGAAAAGTTTATGTCTCTTAGGTGATTAAAAAATCTGGAATGTTAGCTGTACCAAGCAACAAACTTACACTGTACTGAATAAAAAATCATATGGTATGTTTTAATTTGATTTTCGCTATTTTTACAGCTTTGAATTTGGAAAATCGGATTGGATACTGGGGATTAAGTTCATGTTGGGGAAAGCCACGCCCACCTTCCATGTGGCTACAGCGAACGGCTACATCTGTAAAGGCACTATAAACAAGGTGAGCTACGTATATACCCACACAGTCTCATATTCCAGTTACACTGGCAACGTTTCGTCCTGATTTCGTAGTACTGTCAAACTTTTAACCCGATGTTAACGCAATGCACGTAAAAATGATTTACCCACTTTAATGTGTGGGGTTTTACATTCACCTACATAAACACCCGTGAAATCCATTGTGTATTTTTATGTTTCAGCTTGGTCAGAAGTTGAGCTTTGATGAAAGCATCTATATCCCCCCGACCTCAAAGGTTCCCCCACACAGACAGGTACCGGTGAGGGTACTGGACCTGACGGCCTACTCCAGGGATAGTTACGCTGTCACCTCCACTGGCCAGATCACTACCATCAACAGACAAATGGAGAACCACACAGAAACAAAGGTAGATATTTCACGGTATCAAACGTCACATGACATGTTCTTTTGATGTACATCTGAATAGCTTAACGTAGGAAGTTAAGCCCAAATATTTAACCAAGCCACAGTAACATCTGTCTGTAATATCACAACATAACAGTATAACCAAGAATATGAAAATAAGTCTGACTTCAACAGAATGAGTAGCCTAATACTGAGGAAGGTTTTTTAATTTTCAATGCCATTTGTCTTCAAGTGTCTCCAAAAATTCTTCAAGATCATTACCAGTAGTAAAATGTGGATTTCTATCAATTCATCACCCAAACAAGAAAATGGCTTGAGCGGAGAATCTTAGTTTTCAACACAGTATTCTAAAGTGTATTGTTATAAGATTTTTCCGATTATTTCATATTTCAATAGAATGTCAATCTGACATGCGATTCTGTATAATTTAAGTGCTAGACTTTTTGTTAACCTTGGATTTCTATTTTACAGATTCACAGTGCTGCTGTCACCTGTGTCACAACTTCAGATCATTTTGTATTTACTGGAGCACATGACTGTACTGTCAAAGTCTGGCGAAGAGAGAACAAGCTCAAACAAGTAAGTTTAGCCGCTACATAGAGAGAAAAAATGGAGGGACAGATTTTGACTGAATTTGGTATGAATGGTCCCATAGCTAAGTGAATTGAATTGGAGTACACAAAATAAGTGCCTCTTGGAGGGCAGAGGGAAGGGCCCAATAGGGAAATAGGGATAATGTACTTAAAAGTCTACTCCTTGAAATATGAGTTGGCAGATTTTAACTGAATTTCAAACATTCTGAGCATATTTTTTCAATAGTTATATTGATTTATGGATTTGCGTGAAGGATACTTGGGTCAAGGGCACTCAACTTTGTATCTGTGCAGATTGACATACTGTTTTCAGCACCTTTTTTGAAAATTGTATTAAGGATAATAACTCCAACAAGTTTTTACTTAGGGCTGCAAACTTTATAGAAGCATACAGCTTGGCATGGTGGAGTGTTGCACATACTGAATGATGGACCCATAGGCCCTTACTTACAGAGTTATGGCCCTTTGTGTATTTACCCCTTACACCTATAATTTGACATGTAGGATCACAAAAACAATGATGGAAATATATATCTCAGCATGACAGAGTGGCACATGCTTTATTTGTGGTGCTGGGTAATTTACTTACAGAGTTATGGCCCTTTGTATATTTTGTAATATCATGGTTTCAGGTGGTCAAGACCATAACTCCTTCAATTTCTCACTAATGGTCACCAAAATTACACCATGGCATTGCAAAGTGTTTTGGCATGCAGCCCGTACTTACACAGTTATGGTCCTTTGTAGATATTTTAATCTTGGCCATAACTTTGACAATTTTACCTGGAGCTGTGAAATGGCCCCATGGGTAGAAGACTCAATATGTATGGGTAAAAGGATTTTACCCTTACCTAGTATGAAGCAAAATCCCCAAATCAAGCAAATCTATTTTGGGTCTGACACATCTGAGTACCTCTTGGTATGTTAGAATGTTTTCTACTGAAATCTGATGCCTTGATGTAACTGTTCTGGTAAATAAGTAACCCAAAATAACCTTTGTTGTCTAAAATTTTACAGAAACTTTTTCAACTTCTTTGTTAGTTCACACAGGTGAGCAATACATGCCCTGTGGACCTCTTGTTTTTGTATGAAATATATCTCAGAGATAAGTAAAAAGTAGGTTGGCCAATCTATTCAGGCCATTTAATTTAGTTCAACATACATAGAAGCCCCATATCAGTCCCCTGCCAGTCAGACCTTGGGGACACTAGCATTCTACAATGTCAGTTTGTCCTTCTGTTGTTGAAGTATCTAACTTCTGAATGGCAAAATGTTTCATTTATAAAATCAATAGAAATGTACACCATGACTAAACAGTGTGTTTCATAACATTCCCATATTAATTTTGTACTCTGAATATCAAAATCATGGCAAAGGTCCAAAGGTCAAGTAATGTCTTTTTGAGGCTGCAACTTCTGATCATTTCAAGATTTCATTATAAAAGATCACAGATATGTATAATATGATCAGAGGGCATGTCACATAACCTAAGGTCTACCAAAAGGTCAAAGTCTTTTCAAAGGATCAAAGGTCAAAATATGATAATATTACCTGACCATTAACTTCGTTTTAAGCTACATGAATAATCACAACGCTTACTTCATAACCAACTTTACTGGTTGTTCCTGTAAAACTCCAAACGTTCTAATTAAATGAAATTTCAAAAATACCTATTCCTGTTTTTATAGTTGCAAAGAAATGTAGTCCAAATATGTCTTTGTTTTCTCATATGATATTTTATTGTTATGCTGTTTACATATATTCATTACTCATAAGAACAATATTTTTTAGATGCAATTTGTTTTTGAGTTTATCAGCAGCAAAGTGGGGGTAGTCAAATCATGTAGCTTTATCATCTGAAAAACTAAAAGCAAATTAAGAAGGAAAGAATATAGTCAACAGCATCTGAACTTTGGTCTTAGTGTGCTAGTAATGGCATGGGTTCCACTTCCAACATGGGGAGGGATGTGTGTTACAAGTTAAAACGGGGTCATCAAATAATTGTACAGATAGTTCTACATTGGACAGCCTTATGTCAAACCTGTATACTATTTTAGTGACATTTGATAAAGTATTATGTATATGTGGGGGAAAAAAACAATGTTACAGTAATAACTTCAGTTGTTCTTTATAGACGATTAATTGGTACATATTTTGATTGTGAATCCAGTTTGACCTTTGACAGTCTGAGTCTACATCCAATTTTGACCTTTTATGATGTGGATTTACATTTAATTCTGACCTTTGGCACTGTTTTTCCACATGCATTTGACATTGATACATACTCTTGGTCAACATGCATTTATGACCTTTGACATCATCGGTCTAATTCACTGGTGACCTTTGACACTGTGGATCTATATCAATTTATGACCTTTGACACATCTCTAGGTCTACCTGCATTTTTGACCTTTGACATTGTGTGTCTACATCATTTGTAACCATTAACACTATGGATCTATATTCATTTATGACCTTTGACATTATGACCTTTGACACATACTCTGGGTCTACATGCATTAATGACCTTTGACACTGGATCTGTATCCATTGATGACCTTTGACACATACTCTGGGTTTATATACATTTATGGCCTCTGACACTGGATCTGTATCCATTTATGACCTTTGACACATACTCTGGGTTTATATACATTTATGGCAATGACACTGGATCTGTATCCATTGATGACCTTTGACATTATGGGTTAACATCCATTTTTGACTTTAACACTCTAGGTCTACGTTTATTTGTGACTTTTATCCGTTTGCTGTTACAGGCTGGGTTGTTCTTCTGTCCTGCCCCTGTGGAGAGCCTGGCCATTATCAGCCAATCAGCATCCGTGACGGGGAAATCATTGGTGCGTGTGGTTTGTGGTGACCAGCTGGGCAACATCCACTTTCTCACCTGGCACCAATAGACTCGGGTAATCAACTAACAGTCAAGACTTTGACAGCAACATCTTAAAGTGACACACAGTGTTACTGGTCTACAGTTTGGTGTTTGACGTCAGCAGGTGAAATAACAATAATAACTAATTAACAGGTACCAAACTGAATAAAAGTGTGAAAACAAATAGGACTGGAATATAACCTATTGAAATGGCATCATTCAAGACAGGAGACATGATTGTAAACTATTAACAGACATCTGCTCAAATTTGTTTGTGGTAACCATGGGAACATCATACGTGAGGAACACATGGAAATACACCAGCATAGAGGATGTGCTAGCAACCATGATGAATTTAATGATTATTGATTCAGTATGGTTTCACATATACCAAATGAAATGAACCGGTTAAAATATTATTTACAAAGTTTTATTCTTGTTTTGTATCATGTAAATACTAGATGTTGTTAAAGTAATTCTGTAATGTTAACATTCATATACTATTTCTGTTGTACACTTACATAACTGTCTAAACTTTTGTACATAGTGTGTAACATGACTACAAAATGTAAATCTGTACATATAACACATCGTTATATAACTTGGTTTTTTATGCTGTATTTGAGCACTTGTATGACTTTTTCATTCTGATAAGACACCTCAAGCCTACATGCAGTTAATTACTGTTAACGGCTTGCCGGCGTGTTTTCTGTCGCCTCGTTCCCTGGGAGCACTTTGTATTGTATTCATTTGCTAGACCAATACCTGTCAGGATTATCTAAGTCTAGCACATTAGCTCAGGGTGAGGGCCTATGTCTAGAATATTAGCTCAGGGAGGATTTCTTGTGTAACTGTTAGCGCAATGTACTTCATCAACTGCATCTCAACTGATTAGATCTTTTTAAAATACTAAATGTGCAATGCACCTTGATATGCTAATGTTAAAAGGTAAAGAAAACTCCAAAGTATTTCATAGTTAAGGGCATTGAATAAAAATGTACATCAAAAGAGAATATTTTAAACAGTACAAATAAAAAATAAAAAATATTTTTGATGGAAGACCAATCAAAACTCTGAGACAATAACTACATTTATGAGTTGAAGTGATACATTCACAACTCAGAGAGAGATTTGACGTTAATACAAATCAAGGTAATCCTAAGAGTACAAACTGACTCATGTGTCAAATGACCTTAAAACAAAACTTGAAATTGTCGGATAACTTTTTTTCTTTAATAATTGATTCAGTAATATATCCATTTAAGGAAATTGTGGTTCTTTTATGAAATCCTAGAATGTAATATATAATAGATGAGTAATGCATAATCCAACATTAGAATGACATATTCAGCAATTTGAATAGACATTTGCACTTATTTACTTTAGAATTTGACAACATCACTATGCATATTTAGCAGACAGTAGACAGCCGTGTGATGTTAGCCTACAGCTGTTATAAAGCTGATCCATACAGGTAGGGGTGTAGCTTTTCCCCCAGAATTTGTTGTCCCTTTATTACGTATGGCAACTCTTCACTTCTTTTGGATGTCTTCTGCTCCAATCATGTGACAAGGTCAGAACAATGGTCATTTCTTTATAATTGTGAAAAAGAAATTATGTAGACATCAGCAAAAAGGGAAGTAGTATAGAAAGACTAGGGATACTAAGGGGTCAAGGTGCAGACATTTTGTTGGTATGTTGTAGTAACACATGATTGTTGATTAAAGATATTCTATTTCTCTGATACAAATATTATCACCTTTCATTTATTCCTTACACAATTGATTTGCTATATCGGCTATCTACAAAGAAATGGATATTTTCTTGCCATTTCTAGTGAAGTAAACTTTTACCCAATCTAAAAAAATGAAATGTATTACAAAACAATAGGTTAAACATTTAGTATCATCATTAACACACATTTACAAACAAGTCATTTTTATGGTAGACTGTTGCTTAAACTATTTTTAGCCATTAGAACAAGATAATGCAGATTCTTATTATAAAAAATAGAATGTCATTTGCACATCTGAATAACTGTACCTCATACACTATTTTAATATTGTTGTATGTGATAACTGTACCTCATTATTCCTACAAAAATACCTGTGATAGTATCCTTTATCAATGATATTTAGTATTTACTATAGTATGTATATATATGTAACGGAAAATTGACCGCCCAAATGTCCATAAAATTAGGTGTATCTGCTGTGCTATTACTTTTACAATCAAATGTTATTTATAGTGACTATAACGCGTATGTAAATAGCTGTGTTCCCATCCCAAAATAAACCTGTTTTTGTTTGTTGTGTGCCGCAAGTGTGAAATATGACACAAGGTGGCAGTTTTATCTCTTTCTCTCACTGACGCTGTATTAATAATGTACATTAAAATTCCTTTTAGTCTGACAGTATAGTTAATACCTTTGTTGAATGACATATATAATTCTTTTTAATTAAAATTTTCCTTTGAATTTTGATCTGTTACCTATTCCTAGAGTATCATCTGTTAAAGCCTGACAGATTGATGTCTTATCTGATTTTGATTTGACTGTTGACTACATCTACTCTTCATTCTTATAACAATACTACACGCGCTGTGCAACCTTCCTTCTTATAACAATACTACACGCTGTGCAACCTTCATTCTTATAACAATATTACACGCTGTGCATCCTTCATTCTTATAACAATACTACACGCTGTGTATTTTGAACACCAAAAATGTTCATTGACCATCATTGTTCTTAAATAATTTTATTTGAATACATACTCTAGAAACAGATTGTTTTGTTGGAGTTAAACTTTGCTGGTTATATATTGGAACTACCTGCTAGTATAAGCATATCAGAAATGAATTTGGTGGAAACAACTTTATTTTAAATTCTAGTTAGGTTTAAAAACCTAGAAATAAATCTCTTGTAAAACATTTTGACTTTAAATAATATGTCATTTTCAAATTACACTCATAATATTTGTTTATCATTTTATGAACATGAATCTTCAGGTAGAGAATTATAGAGTCAGTTTATAACCCCTAAAATATAAATATGACACTCTGTTTACTGAAGTTTCTGTGACGATATTGGCTGTCATAGCTGGACGTTTTTGTGTGTGACGTCACTAGCCGGCTCAGCAACATCTATGATGTACATGTGTGTTAGATTTTGTCCTCTTCCTGCGTCAGACATAAATCAAACCATTATTTACATACAACTGTTACTGTACATAATTACAGGTGGCCTTGTGATCTTTTTAGAAACATTCTATGACCCCTATGACAGTCAGGCTACAATAAATCATGTCATAGTTTGTTTAGTAATAAACTTGAACACTTTATCCAGTTTCTGTTCTGCATTAAACCGAAGAATGTTTTCTTATATTATATTTATAAATTTGATTTTGTAAATATTGACAAATGTTTACACTTTACTAATTACACATTAGATGTAGTTGGAATAATAACGTGGTAAATAATTCCTCTGAATCCTTCTTAACTCATTTACCCCTGAAGTTTCTAAATGAACTATTCCAACCATTGAGTTGGAAGAGTTCAAAAGTGTCTTCAGGGGTTGATGAGTTAAAGTTGAGTGCCATCAGTCATGGTTATCATCACTGATTACTTCTATTATTGTATCTAGTTACCTATTTTATATTGCACAAGTTTTCTATACCTACATTTTGTATTGTAAAGATTTTCGGTTTAAGTTCTCATTTATTCCATTTCATTTTCTAATTTACACTTTTTTTCAAACAGCATGACATTGTTAAATTCGCCTTAAAAGGATCTTGCCTTTCTATTGTTGACAAAAGCCTTTTATTTCAACCACCCTTTATAATATTAAAGGTTCTCTGTCAATACTTGTATGCAGTGATGATTTTGTTTGTTCTTTTTTCATAAAGTGTATGAAAGTTAATAATCACTTCATTGTAATGTGAACAATCGTAGTAGTTAATGTCCTGTTGAGGTATTAATTTGATATACAAAGGTGGCAGGATCATCGCGGTCACAGGGTCATTGTAACACACCTTTGTTACATATTCTCTTGTTGAATATTCACAACATTAATTACGGTATTGGTGTTCCTTAACTAACTGCAATTACAGCTCTAAAGCATATATGTAAATGTTACTTTCTTGTGTTGTTGTTTTAAACTGATAAAGTGCTGTGTTACTAGCTTTATATTTGAATTTTGTTTATTTATATTTGTAAATAGTGTATATAAATATATTAAGGTTAATTGGGACTATGTTTTAGTGTAGTGAGGTGTAAGTTATTTATGTATTATATGTTAATCTTCATATTTAAGGAATTATTGTGTGTCGCTGTATAGAGTAGGTCAAGATTTACATTGACGTATATCTTGAGATTATTTATGATGAATACGTACGATATGTATATGAACTGTGATGCGACTATATATCTATTGCCGTTGGTGTAACAGGTTATAGTTATCTGTATATATTGTGTTAAGTATATAATATATTATTTTTTGTATAAATTGCACTACATGATGTTGTAATGTGATATTTTATTCAAAATTGCAGATTGTTGTTTTTGGAAAGTGCATGTACAAATTTGGAATATTTTGTGTATATTAAGTAATGATTGTTATTTCAATTCCAATTGTACTGTTTTGTTTTCAGTTTTTTCTATATTTATGATTTGAATTTTACCTTTAACCCTTTCACCCCTATGTAACTTTAGTAGACTCTACCATGCATTGATATGGATGAGTCCATTGTGGTCTACAGTGGTGAAAGGAGTAATATGTGATAATGCTGATGTAGCATGAGGCTGTTGTTGAATATTATAGATAATATTATAGATAAGCATAATGTAGGAGCTGTAAAAAATACTCAAGACATTTACAATCCAAATTTAAACATTCTGCTCCAAATTTAAACATTCTGCTCCTTGTTATTTGTATGGGCTGTACACGGTTAATTGTTCCTACAATGATGTCATTTCATTCTGAAAAAAGGTTGATAATCCTGTTTTCTTCGTGTCAGTGTTTTTAAATTCTTGATGTCATGGTTCGGGACAAACTTTATCTTAATTGACTTATTATCATTCAAGTTATGTGAACATCAGAACAAACAAACTAAAAATATCCTGATGTTGATTAACTGGTTATTTTGTAAGTTGTATAAAATCAGGAAACAGCATTTATTTTTGACATTCTGTCCAGTGTTAATGGAATTATTAGAGTGTTTTTAGGTTTAAAATATCTCAAATAGGTTTAAAATAGGTTTTAAATTGGGAAAAACAAAGAAATCTATGCTGTGCATTTTTTTACATCATTAATAAAATGAATGGATTTATATATGTTGAAAGACCCTTGCCTACAGATTTTCCTTCAGATTTATGGTAAATTTTATTGCTAATTGGTACAAATATAAACTGATAAAAAGTTTGAACAGTCTAAACAAGATCTGCCTTAATTAAATATCCTTAAAAAAATAAAAATAAGATTGAAATCTACCTTATAATTAATTTTGAAAGTTTTAAAAATTCTAGGCTCTATACAGTATTATTCAATTACATCTGAAATTAATTACTGATTAGCTGAAAATCTGTGGGAACAATCAGGAATGTGAGGGTATTGTTCTGTGAGACATATAAGGTATGTATGAAAGTTACTTTATGAATGTGATTGGGTAATATATTTATATGCAGGAAAGGATGATGGGAAACAAGTGAAGAGGAGTGTACTGTGTGATGGATAGAAGTTCTATAAATGCTGGAGTACAAGAGATGTTTGAGTAATTTAAATGTTTGAGTACAAGGGATGTGTGAGTAACTTAATTGTTTGAGTAGGAGGGATGTTTGTATGATGAATAAGTGCTATAAGTGCTGGAGTACAAGGATAGATGCTGGAGTACCAGGGATGTGTGTGATAGATATATGCACTACGTGTGTTTGAATGTCTGTGATAAGGTTGAATGGTGTTCTTATTGAACATGTTAACCCAGCAATCCTTCAACAAGAAGGCGAAGTGGATAACATAGTATGTCTGTGATTACATTGTACTTTATTAGAACAAATTCATTTGTTGAAATAAAGATTTATATGTCAAAACCCTTTTTGCTTTTTTCTCTTTCCAACAAAGATTTTCAATGTGCACCACGGGAATATCAATTTATTATAGCTGGCATTTTCGTGGCATTCAAGAAAATAAGAGAAGTTTATGAGTTTATTGTTATTTATAGTTTGGTTTCCTATTAAAAATCTAAATAGAAAGCCAAAAAATCAGTATATAAGTAAGAAAATATGAAATCAAGATACAGCTGTACATGTACATACAAAAAAATGTTTTTAATGTTCAAAAAAGGATGTAAGTAATTTAGGAGATGCAAAACACTGGAGGAGCATCACGAAAATCATCAGAGAAATAGGATAGCATTGATACTTTAAACACGAAGTAAAGAGAACAAAAAGTGACAGTAGCAACACAGTAGCAATACACAAGGAAAAGCAGATAAATTAACGGTATAAGGTTTTCTACTTGGAAAAACAACACTTGTTATTTTCACTCCAAACCGATCAATCAGAGAGCAGGGTTTATTGAGAAATGTAACATTAAAATGAACATTGTCTATTGTGACGTCCCGATAGGCCTGACATATTCTTACTGAGGCATCGTAATACTGCTACTTTTTGGTAAAATGTACTTATAGAACATTCTTGTTTTCTTTATGATAAACAGTTATATTTCAATGCGGATTAAATATTTTTGACATATTCACTCTTGCTACACATTCACCCTAAAAATATAAAAAAAAATACCTTCCTCATTCATGATATATATAACTTGATACAAATTAACTACAGGAGACAATCAGGATTTGTTGATCACCGAAATGAAAAACAAGTAAGGTAGTGTCAAGCCCAGTTATGATGATGACAGTGTAAAACGTCCTCAAACGTTCTTAGTGTAGATTGAAGTCTCCCTGGAAGGAAACCCTGTATACCACAATTAATTTGTGAACATGACGTATCTATCCAGATAATCCCGGTGCTTAAACATGGCCCAAATGAACAATTCGACTGTGGTATACACATAGGCAGGAAGATCTGGTATGCTTCTAAGGAAAATGATGTTATTAAAATTACTACACAATCGGATTACCGCCCTTGAGGCATGATGGACGATGTCATTTCAGCTCCAGGTATAATGTAGCAGTTTTCTATTGTGAGGGGGACCAGTCACCTTTTTCCAATGCCTGTGACCTAAGTATACTTTCGTAACTTTTATAACTTTGTCGGGAACTGTTTATGTGTCATGTAAAGACTCTCAAATGGAAACTTCACTCATGCATGTGCGTACATTGTGAGACGAGACGTGATGGTCACTCATTCATGACAAGTGCTTGTTTACATTGAATGCGTCCAGTGTTCACTACATGTGTGGGTTGTATACATGTTGACTTTTGGTTTGCCATATGTCCACCCCTGCGTCTAAACGTCCGCTTTCTTCTTCGTCCACTCCTTCGCCATTTGAAAATAAAAAACTCAGAGATTATTCTCCTGGTGTTACTGAGTACTCATATATGCATACCTCGACACCCTATAATACCGGTACCATGTCTGACTCACCTACTCAACCCAGCGTCCCTCAGGGACCATACGTTCAATCCCAGCCAGCCAGCCTACCTTTCCAGCATATGTTCTTCCAACAACCCTCCCAGTTTACTGGTTATCCTCCGGCTTCTGGTTCTATGTCGATATCCGAATCTGATGTAGATAGGATAGCCAAGGCCGTCAGGGGCCTGCTATTGGAGGACATTAACACTGCTGTAGAGCGTCAGATTGTCCCTCTGGTCGATCGAGTGTCCAAGCTCGAAGCTGAAAATGATGTACTTCGCCTTCAACTCGACGATCTGGAGCAATATGGTCGAAGACCCCTGGTCCGTTTCTCCGGATTTCCGGAATCCAAAGATGAGGTCACTACAGACCTGCTCCTCCAGGCTGCAAGGGAATCATCGGTAGATCTCATACCAGAAGATCTTGAAAGATCTCACCGTGTTGGACGTCCGACTTCAGGAAAGCCTCGAATTATTATCGCCAGACTACGATCGACCGAAGCGAAATTCAAACTCCTCAAATCAAGCTCCGGATTTCGTGCCACCAGTAAATTTAAACACATTTCGGTGAACGAGGACCTAACCCAGTACCGAAGCAAACTCTCATTCTTCGCTAGAAGACTTGTCAAGGAAGGAAAGATTCTAAAGACTTGGANATTTCAGTAAGTTTATTTTGCGCGTGTTTCACACTATCGACTGTGTCAGATACGGATAGTGGAATTACTCTAACAACTAAATGTGGTAATGATATTTCATATACGTTACCTTGATTTGATTTTCATTTCTGTATTGTTACACTATTTATTTATATATATCAGACCTATACGCAAGCTAGAATATAAATTCTTATAACTTGTACGTAAGCTGTTCAGGACTCTGGTATATAGATTCCTGTATGTAGTAGTACCCATTTTAGCGGCGTCGATTAATTTATATGTCCATTATCATTATTTCAATGGAGATTCCATAAACAGTGTAAAATGTACACGTTAGTGTAACCAAAATCAATTTGAGTCCTATGATTTTTTTGTCCGTATTATACACTAATGGCCATAACAGATAGTGAACTACTCTCCTAACATAATATTTGAATTTGGTTATGATATTCTTACATGTTGAATTGCTTTATATCATGCTATGTACTGTTACATTGTTTATTTCTGTACCAAAACCTGTAAGTTGGGTGTTATCGGCTAATCCAGCACCATAGTATCCTGAATGAAGTAGTACCTATTTGTTGTTGTTTTTTTCCCCTTGAGTCGATTTATTTATTATCATTAACACTACTATTACTTGTATTATTATTACTACTTATTTAAAAAATAAATAAAAAATAAATAAAAAAATGATATTGCATAAATTCTGCGTGCTATACATCTACTATATATTGCTATACTGCAAACCTATACCTAAGTTGTATACCGGATCCTCCGGAATCCTGTTAATAGAATCTTGTATGTAGTAGTACCCATGTTTTCTCTCAAAGTGTAACGTCATCAATTTTTGAGAAAACGACGTAATTTTCTCACCCAAACCAATGACGTAACAATCAATACCTGCTCACAAGAGAAGACAACTCTGCAATACGCAAAGACGGAATAATCCATAATGTAATGCCCTGGAAGCTTTTCATGAGACGTTTGAAGAGATTCCTACCAACAATTCGAATGTGAATCTCACGATACTAATAGATTCCGTGGAGGACGTGCCAGACAATGTATTTCAGATTGGTCTAAATGATCGGTAATTTGAAATCCAAAATGGAAACCTGTATATTTTCACCTCGATTGTTGCCCCAACCACACCCAACTATCTGTATGATAAATATATGGCTGCGACAGACAAAACATCTTATCAATTGGCCCTTGCCTGAAGTCACTATTACATATATACTGCTTTCAAAAGGAGCTCAGATTTTCTTGATGCCCATTGATACCTTACAAACGAAATACTAGCTTACTGTGCTTCTGTGTGGGATCTTTTCCAAAATCGGTAAATGATAATATACAAACCTCCCTTGTATAGAATCCCTATTTTACTCTTTTTTTCAGTCGGCTCAGCTAGTTGCAATCAATCAAGATTTACCCAAATTTCTTAATGTCAAATTGGAGTTGAGTGGTATTGCGACAATAAATACTCTAGAAGTGTCATTAATTAAATGTGGATTTTCAATCCTTTAATCTAAAATGTTTCTTTGATCAGAATGCTGGATTTTCCCAGTGTGCACTACCCTACCTCATAACAAACTGAAGGAACGCATTCTTTTTTTCCTTTGTGAGATACAAAAATTATCCATGAAAGGCGAACGGCGTAAATATGTATGGTTGTGAAGTACCAGAGATATACATTTTGTGAAAAACATGACAAAGACTTAGATAGTACTCACTAAGGAAATAACTAGATTCCTGATTGACAAAATCTTTGTAAAAGTGGTGGCAACATTGAAAATGTCTCTCTCCTTGTCGACTCGTTTTTGGTTAAATATGTGGCTGAATGTATCGAAGAGCTTAACGGGACAAGTTACAAAGACCTTGCCAAATAATGCAATTGCACTCCCTAACATACTGGTAATGCATTGTCTTTGAATAACAAAACATTCGTTGATCATGTCGATCATATATACGCTCATGAATTTGACATCAATGACTTAACAGACGTTTTCTACATCAGCCGCTTACCTAAATTTTTCTTACAAGATGACAAGCTGAGACGGCTTACCAATACGCTATATGAGGACGTGACGATTTCGAATTTTTTTCTATAGTGAACTTTCCCATTTTTGATAAAGATATTCCAGCTTCACCAAAAGGGGCCTGAGAATTTGTTACAGCTATATTTGGACCTAAACTAAGATGTTCAGAGCTATTTTACATGCATGGTTTAGGGGTTTAGATCGACTTTCGGATCATTGCGGGTGTCATTTTTACCTGAAGTCGATCTTAACCCCTAAACATGTAAATTTACTCTAAACACCTGAATTTAGGTCAAAATATAGCTGTAACAATCCTCAGGTCCCTGTGACTTCTCCCAACTACGGCGTTTACATGTCGCAGTTTGTTCAATATTCGCTTGCACTGAATATTACGACCTGCGTGCTGTAAATTATTGACGGGCAATCTTGTGAAATAACAAAATGAATCGTCCTAAAAACACATACATTATTATAACGTTAGGTAGATTAAACAATCGTCAGAAGTGTATGTCATTTCGGTATAACTAGTCGTATAACGATTGTCAAACGTCACCATACATGAAACGTCTTTAAAGGACATAAGAAGGTTATCATTATTGATTGCTGCTATCGTCATAGCCTTTGTTTGAAGAACCTGACTGCGGTGCACTAGTGATTAAGTAGTAACCGGATTGGGCGAGTGCACGAATGATGCAGGTGTATGAGGAGTATGTTCGCCATCATAATTCTATTCAGAAATAATCTATATCAGTGTGTGTTTTTGGAAGATTTTCGACGTTTTTTACAGTATTTTAAAATACCCAATA